AAATCTTTCATCTTGGGGAATCTTTTACCACTGATTTCTATAGGCATATGACCACCTCATTGGTCTATATGTGGAATTATTTTTCAAAATAGGCAAAAAAGGCAGTTCTAAAATGGTCAGTATGTAGCTCCCAAGAACTAGTCAATGAATCGTATTTGCAGTTGCTAGAGTTCATTGTGCTTCAGCTCTGAATCTGCCCTTCTCCCCGGAACTGTGGCGACTTGTTAATGATAATGGATAGATAATTTTTCAAGTTTGCCTGTTCTATAGGCAGCTTGCACGTTTCGTGTGGTATTTAAAGAATGGTTAGAAAAACAGAAAATTTAGTACACAATGTTACATATAGACCCTCTACATCATAATCTTTCCTCAATCAAAGCCTTTTTTTCTTTTGCATTAATGTTAGGTGCTGAAGTCTATCCCTTGAAAGATTATTTACGTCACCTAATCAATGTTTTTTTTAAAATATATTCCCCAGAATGGTTGGGAGTGTGAAATCCAACCTAATGTAGAGAATACAGTACCAACATCCCACTGTAACTATAAAAACTTCCTGTTGGTGTTCTGGCCTTCATGCTGCCCCTCTACAATCACTATATTGCTATGGTTATGTGTTACAACTCATGTATGTTTTGTCCCCCGTACTAGAACATACATCTGTGGGATTTTTCAGAGGCACATACACCTTTTGGGCTCGATGATCTTAAAGGTCTTTTCTAACCTAAATGAGTCTATGATTCTATACAGGATTATACCAGCAGCATAACGTGAAGGTAACCTCTGAAGAAAGATTTGATGGGACGGAACTTGAAAAAATGAGTTCAAGTCAATGTTTTGCCAATGTCTTATGCATTCCTGATTGGTACCTACACATTTATTTGGCAGTAAGTTTTTACACAAAGGTGAACGTCTGTAGCACTTGGAAATTGGACTTGTCCTTTAAATTCTTAAAAAAGGAAAGATGGAAGAAAAAGAGATGGAAAGAGCTATACAGAACCAATACATAATAAAAAAAAAAAGTTATCCAGGCTCTGTAAGCTAAGTTTATCAGCAGTGCAGAAGGTCAAGAGAAAAAAATTGAATTTGTGTCAGGAAAAATGGAGTGCAAAAGAACGGGGAAAGGAGCCACGTCTGAAGCAGGATTTTGTGACTGCTTAAGCACTGTGAACAGCACAGTGACTATTTGTCACCCTGGAGTGTGTTCTTGTAAATGCTTCCACCTTTTAGTATATCATGTGGCTTGTAACTATGTTCAAACACCATTCTTCAGGCCTGATTCTGCTCTCGAAACTAGTAACAAAGACCTCAGTGCAAATAGCTTTTTCACCAATACACAGGTGCACGTATTTGGGAAGATGTCTGCCTGCAATGTGGAAAAGTAATAAATCATGCAAATGTATTAAGTTTTACTTTCGTTTTTTATTATACAGATTTGGCTAGCTGAAAATGTGGATATTAGCTGCCTGTATAGCTATACACTAGGTCTTGGATTTTATTAATGAAAACACACAGTAAGTGGTTTGAACCCAATATTAAAAGCTGGGCTTCAAATTCTAATTGCATATTGGGGCAAGAATTGGTCGTAACAAATGACCTGGTAATAAGCCAGTGGAATTATAAAAGTCAAATATCATAAACAATATGGCCAAAACCTTACTATTTTATAGAGGCATATTCAGTTACAATCTAAGTATAGAGGTATATTTACATTAATCCCTAAAAAAATCTGCATAGTTTTGTGGGTAAGTCCTTATATTGTGGAATTCCTTTTGCAAGCACAAGTAGGAGAACAGAGCAGCGGAAATGGAGGAATGAAGGACAGGTGCAACCAGCTACGAATGGGGGACATGACCGGGCACGGCGGGACTGCAGCGTGAGGCGTGCACTCGGTCACGCACACAGCTTCTCCCCAGCTCCTCGCATTTTCCGGTGGCAGCGTGGGAGTTCGAGAGAGGCATGCATTCCCGGCCTTTCTTTTAGGGGAGTAGAAATTATTCGAGTCTTAGTTTCAGAGGGGGTAGAAGGGAGGGAACTCTGTGGGTATTAAAGCTCTTTTAGTCAATAATAAACAAAGTAATTAATTTTGGTATTTAACTAGGTTAGGTATGAGCTGGATCAGCTTTCCAAATCAGTTCACAAGACACCTGTGCGAACAGCGTTACACACAATTTGAGGCTGGAGTTGAGGCAGGAATACAGAGTTGAAGAGAGATGAGGAAACCGAGACAGAACCGTGAACTGCATCTACATTTATATTTAAGTTACAAACTGAGGAGACATTTGGAGCAGAACAGTCCTGCCCCGCTGCAGGCTCATTCAAACCTTCTATCCATTGCAAGGACTGCGAGGGCTAGTTCACATTATATAAAACATACCACATTATGCCAATGTCACCTTCATGGAAGTAATGAGGGTGGGATGGCTGTCCAGAAAATGGTTCACGAGTTTCAATAGACGTTCACTTTCTGACCAGGCCAGAACAGTCTGAATTTGAAGTTTAATTGTAAAATGGAAGGCAATCTTAGACCATATCCAGCTCCACTGAAGATGTAAGATTTTGCTGTGGGCATCAGGGAGGATCCTGACACAGTTCCTATTGATTGTTGCACTTAAAAAAACCAAATTGGGTGAGTGGGAAAAAGATCTTTTATTACCATTTTTCCTATTACAGGTTATCATGGGGTTAATTTTAACTATAGCTGCTTTTAATTTCCAGGTTTGTCTAAGATTTTGCATCAACACTGATTTATTAGCATTCTGCAAAACAATGTTTATTAATTTGTCTTTAATCACAAATACAATTCTAAATCTCACAAAAGCACATTGCTTATAAAAAGCACAGCTGTTCAATCAAAACACATCAAGTGTTCAGTCATTACCTGGAAAAATGCTATCTTGTAGGAGCTTCCTTAAGTAATTTATCAAATGCTAAATTAATTAAGAAGTTTTAGGCCAAACTCTCTTGATACAAATACAGAATTCCTATCTCTGTGTTAATAAATCAAAAGGCTCTAAGGATGTATTTTTCTTTTAAATTTATCTTTTAATTTGCTGTATGAGTACACAGACTTTACGGCTATGACTATGATTTAATTTCCATTTCTGGCCTGAATGAAAAGTTTCTTTACACAAATTCCGACAGCAATATCAGAGAATATTTTCGTTCTAGGCCCTAGTATATAACAACTTGAAATACCTGCCATACAAATCATAAAAACGTGTAAATGAAGCATATGCTTTCTCAGAAGAGCACTTTATTTTGATCACTAAATGATCACTATTTCTTTATAATGGTTAAATATTTTACTGATAATACAATGGATTGTTCTTTAATTTTTGAACCAAGTTACTGTTTTTAAGGAGATGGATGAGTAGATGACAGTCTTGTTAGTAAAAACAAATTTCACTGCTATTTTTCTTTATAAGCCATCAAATTGAATACAGCAAAAGTTTAAAGATATGTCACACAAAGTAGCAAAATAGCCTTGGATTTTAAATTTTTTATATTTTATATTGCTTGTTTTTCATTGTATAAACCAATGTGATAATCCAACCTTTTTGTAATTAAATGATGACAGCTTGAAATAAAAACTGTTTGTCAAAAACTTTTCAGACTTTTAGACAAGATTTTTAATTCTGAAACAATTTCAGAACAATTTGATAACGAAAATACTGGCCACACTGAGGTCAATGGCAAAACTCCCACTGTCATGATTTAAACCAGTTTCATTCAGTTTTAAAGTTTATAAAGCAAAGTAATCTTCTAAAAACAAGCCTAAAATTGTATCCTTAGCTTTTAAGATAATATTTAATAAAAGGGAGAGCATTTCAGCTTAGGATGCTGAATCATAGGCATTCACAGCCTGATTGAATATGAATAGCTCACCTAAGCCCTTTGAAATATATATATTTTACCTGCATTTTTTTTTCCTGGACTCAATACTCATGAATCCTAAATTCAATCAGTAGTCCAAATCTCAATATTAAAAAAAAAAAACAACACAATTTTTATGTATTTGATAAAATTATAGTGAAAACAAATCTTCAACTTGGAAAACAAAGGAAGAAACTTATTATGAATAGTTAAAATGTGCAGTATCCTGTTTTTTTAATAAATTTATACATATCTAGAATCTCATTGTACAGCTAGTAGACAGCCAATTTCTTATTTGTGAAAACTGAAAAATGTATATAAAATAGATTCCTTCATATCAGAAACAGCTTTTAGATATTTTTAATAAAGGCACAAAAGCTTGAGCTCTTCAGCCTTTGCCTAGTCATGCTTCATATTTATAATATATATCAAAATTAAAAAATGTCAAAGGTTTAAAGACATTGTTATGATTCTGCTATATGCTCTGGAGATTTACTATAGGTACTTACAGACCAGAGTCGTGGTGCTTCTCGGTAACTTACAGCGTAAGCAGAGTCCAGTCATTGACAACAGCTTAATGGACAAAAGATAGACCTTTCAGCAAGATAAAAAAAGTTTCAGTTGAACCCACTACTTTTTTAATAAATTAATTCAGTCATTCTCAAAACCCTAATATGCTTCTTTACCATTTAAACATGGGACCAGTGATGGTTCTTAACTGGAAGTTTCTAAGTAAAAGGAAAAGAACCACTGAGAAATTCTGAACTTTGTTAGGTAGCCACAATCCTAAATTTTAAAACACTGGAAACGCAGACGTTAACCAGCTTTCAACAGCTCATCGGAAAGCCACTGGATAGAAGTAAGTGATGGCTAAATTATATCTTGTTCAAAAGGATTTATATTTTTCTTTCTATACATGCCAATATTTAAAAAGAAAATTTGAAGAACAATGAACATCATCATCTTTACTAAACTTGTGAAAAGTTACATTAGAAAGCATAATTGAGGACTTTTTTTTTCCCCCCTGCAGAGTACTATAGCCATCCAAGGTCAAAAAATAGAGTCTGGTAGGAAAGGAAAGGAAACTCATTTTAATTCCTCAGATGAAATCGTGTCCACAGTAATGTTCAGTTCCATTGGCATGAGCAGTCTATAGGTTCTTGAATGACGTACATAATTTCAGTGCCATTTCCTGAGCAGCGTAGCGGCACAGTCAGATTACGTGTTCCATTTTCTCGACAACATTTGCAGAATCTTAAATGGCTATCAATATTGACATTGAAAATTGTTGCAGATGGGCATTTTCCATCACAAGAAGCCACATTTATCTATGAGTAAAAGAAGAACTGAAGTTAGACATCTCAGATTTTGTTATAAAAACATGACATTTCAACCTTCTTTGTGATTAAAACCCATTTTTACATTTGAAGAGGACTCTTGTCTTAAAAACTATTTTATCTTCTAAAATTCATTCATCCTAAGTGTAGACACATTTTTAATAATTTTTTTTAATTAAACATTTTTTTGGTTGTTTAATCATGTATTCTGTCTTAACCTTGAGCAAAACGTTGTGCTGTGGATACCAAAATCAAATCCCTAGTTTACAAATTAATAACTTCAAAACAGCGTAGATAAATTCATGTTCTTTTCGTGTTCCCTGCTGCAAAGTTAAATTCTTGTAAGCAAAATGAAGGAAAGTCTATCCTTCTCCTTGAAGGTTCAAGAGGAAAAGCGTATCAGTGCAAAAGCTTTTCCCTTTCTTATTCATGCTGCTTGTGACTAAGGGCACACCAATATTAGCTGCGTTATCACTGTAACAAATATATTCAAAAAGTAGGTGCTGTAACAAACCAGCAAGGGCAGAGACTGGCTATAAAATTATTTGTGCTCTAGACTTCAGCAGAGCAAAGCTTTCTCTCACTATTACATTGTGTGAAGAGTCTGACAGAAAAGAAATTGATACTTTTTAATTAAAACTTAAGCAGAGTTGATATGCTGGGAAATCGACAACTGCCATACTAGATCTAGTTCTTTTTGTGGTAGTTTTAAATCTGATTTCTTATGCAAGTGGGGCATGTGAAAGATGCTTTGATCCACTCCCTTCCAAACAGCCTGTGAACAAATGGGCCATATCCAAACATATTAGAGCAAAAGATTGCTCTTACAGCTTTCCTGAATTTTGAGGAGAAAAAAAAGACCTTGTCCTAAGCACTAATAATCTCAGTTATTAATTAATTAAATGTAATCATACTGAGCCCTATCCAAAGTTTGACAGCATTCATGTGGCCAAAGAACACGTATGCAGTTCCAAACCAGCCATAGCAGATACCACCATTTGATGGGCCAAAATCACGCGACTGAAATAGACTGCCAGGGGGTCTGCAGTGGGGGAGCTGGAGAGGAAAGGAAGTGGAGCTAAGGGTATTAATAGAGATTTTTAGGACATGAAAATCTGGAGGTACTTCTGGGTGAAGGGTAAGGGAATCTGGACTGTGGGAAGGGTGGGCAGCCATCAAGGAAATGGGGAACAAGAAGATACTGGGGAAGGAGGGTTGTAATACGGATAGAGGTGGGATGGGGGTAGGTCTCTTTGGAAGGTGAGTAGAGGGGTAAGGAAGGATAAAGAATCTACAATAGAAAGTCATAAAAAGGAAGGCTTCATTTGTTGTGCCATTCATGGAATGACCTCGCCAACATTCTCATTGCTCCTCTCTGAACCCTCTCTAGTTCTGCAGCAATGTAGAGGGACCGTAACTGCACAGAGCACCCTCAATAGTACTCTACCATTGGCTCGTAAGAGACACTAGAATGAGTTTGTTTCCACTCCCTATCCTATTCCCTAAATGTCATAACTCTTTGTTAGCCTTTCTGTCTGCAGGAGAGCGTTTAACAGAGGTTTTCACAGAACTGGATACAAGGGCAAGGTCCTTTTCAGCTAGCTTAAAAAACTATGAGGTTTGACTAAATCTTTCTTTTTAATATTCTTTGCTTTAGTCAGTCTTTATGTTGTCATATTGCTGTCACTTAACCTATGTTGTTGAAGTAACTGTGAAGCTCTCCACGGTCTTCTCTCCTCTTAGCTATGGCAAATAACTGTAGTTTCATCTACATATTTATACTCCCTCATTACCAATCCTGCTTCTAAAACTAAATAAATATACCACACTCTCTTACTTCTACTATTAACCTTTGGGCATGTCACTGTTAACCTTCTATCAGGATGGAAATTAACCTGCTCAACTTTCGATTTGTGATGATATTTTGCCTCTTCCCTTATTACTATTTAGGTTCTTCAGCAGAATCTTACCAGGGGCCTTTTGGAAGTCTCAAGATACCGTGTCGATTGCTTCTTCTTTAAGTGCTACATGAGAAGCATAATTTGCTGCTCAGACATGTCCTGGGTTTTGTAGGTGGGGCTACACCAAAGCTGAGAAATAAGATGTCTTAAGCAGACCCATAAATAAATGGGATCATGAATTTATGTTATGTGGAGGAGAAGACACCCAGAGAGTAAAGGTCTGTGAAGAGGAATGCAGCAGTGTTTCCATTACATCCCAACTGGAAGCATTTCTACTCCTCTTTTAGAGTGGGATGTTGTTTCACGGTGAAAAGTTCAATGCCTTTGTTAGTTACAAGCAATTATGCTGTGAACTTTTCATTTGAAGCCAGATGTTTTTCCAGGTAGGAGGGCTCAGTCTTTCAGCCATAGCAACAGCTAATTTTACTCCATTTATGAGTAGGATAACATTCCTAGGGTCAAAGGTCTGCTTTTGAGAAGATAGCAGCATTTTTTGTTGCTTGTTGATAGCTATAACCCACTTCTTAATACTTGATTTGGTATGCCATAGGCCCAGCATCAAACACAGGTCTTTTATGCTTACCGGGCTTTGACTTATACAGTCATTTTTTCTTATGGTTGTCCTGATTGTCATTTTCTGGCAAATCCTTTCTTCCTTTTTGCCTGATAAAATACAGAAAATGCATACTGAATCAATACACTTTTTGTACTGTATTTGCTACTAAAAAAGTAAAACTATTAAAATAATTTTAATAGTTATAGTTTGTTTTCATTAATGTACACACTGAAACTTTTACTTCCATAATTAAATAATTTTTTAGAAAAAAACCCTCATATATTAATAAATACTTCCCATGCAGAATTATAGATTTTATAGCTGGCACATGTGAGGCATCAGCTGGCCCATTAAGCTATACAGGTTTTATAAATATTAAAATATTAATATGATTTTAAATTGCGCATATGGCAAGACAAATATAAGCAATTAGAAAAAGATGTCTCAAGTGATTTTGAATAGTATTAGAATTAATTCTGTTTTAATAGGAATATTTAATGTAAATAAGATTTTGATTCTGCATTTTAGAAAATTTTCAGAACTTAGCATTTGAGAAGGTAAAGCTGTGAATGTTATTACAACCTTGATGCTATTTTGAATATTTAAAATTTAAATAGGACTATATAATTTCAATATATTTTTTAGAAAGATGTCCTCCAAGGAAGCTTTGAAAGAGAGAGATGCATGTATTTGCTAAATATGGTGCAGTTTTTACCACCGACTGAACTGAACTGAACTGAAGCATGTAGCACTGAGTCAGCATACGGATCTAGATTAGGGAAATACTGCATTTTTAAGTAGATTCTGGGAGATGTTGATAGGAGGTTTTTTCTTCTATTTGAAAAATAAAGCTGTAGAGTGCAAAGAAATTTTTAATGTAGTAAAAATCGTAATATAATAGTGAAACAATTAAATGTACAATCTTTCATGCTGCACTCCATATCAGACTGTTATTACTATCTGTGTAACAGCAGTTATTTAGATCTCCTATTTCACTACCGGTCAAAATAATCTATTAGTTTTGCTATGCAACCATTCTGGACATCCAGCCTACAAAATAATAAGCACTATTCAGCAGAGTTTCTCCACCTCCAGCACGTGGCTTCATGGTTGGGTGTACACAAAAAGAACAACTTTTCTGTTCCCCAGAAGCTTGTGAGCACTTTTGTAAGATAAATGAGCTTTGAGTAACCGAGATATTCTGCAACCACAGCTCCAATGGGTATTTAAAAATTAGCCTGGCTGCAGAGTACAGCTAGATTTTAATCTGTGCGTTGCAGGATCAAACAGGATTCTGTTACTGAATTAGCAGATCACTGTACGATCGAAGCTGTTAGCCTACAGCATCTTGGTTTTCCTTCTTCAGCAACACTTAAGAAAAAGAAGTCCTGTGATACCTCCATCAGAAAGTGTTTGCCAGCATGAGTATGTGTAGACAACGCAATCGGTGTACTTCTACAAGTCATATAGAGAGATATATGACATTTCAGCATATAAGGTGCTGATGTCTAATGAAAACTCTGCTGCTATACTTTTATCCCTCCCATCTTCAACTGCCAAGAAGATCTGCATTCAGTCTCAGGTGTGCTTTTTTTACTCACTCCTTATTTGAGTAAGGAGCTTCTGTGACTTACCTATCCTTAAAAACAAAGAATTATGATCACAATGCAACAGTTCTGTAACATTCTGTAATTTCTGGTGTAAAGAGTATTTATTAACGTGTAGTTGAATTGTATGTTTCCCCCCTCCCCCAATATTTTCATAACTTTGTAAAACATGTTATTTGTGACAAAGAAGAAATACAGCATAAATCCATATCTGCAAAGGTGAGACCAGGCAGTAATGCACACTTGCTCTATTTTAAGGCAAAAACAGTTCAGTCATTAAATTCAGAGACCTGGAATCAGATTTAGAATCTCTTGGTAACAGTATTCAGGATGATGATGTTATTTAAAGTAACATTTCTTATTACAACTACCCTGTACAGTAAGTTCACATATTAAAACCAATTTCAGAAATGAACAGGAGGAAGAACCATCAGCAGCATATACCATAAATGGATGAACCTAATTCTGACAGGTGCTGAGCAGTGAACCCTAACCAGGCTTTAGAAGACCACTGATCTGGGGAGGTCAACAGGGGATCAGCATCTCTCAGTATCAGGCCCAATACCATTAACTGCATGGTAACATTAAATGGTGATGACAGCTATACGCGCATATCAAGCAGTGCTTACACTATTATTAAAAAAAAGAAAATACATTATTAGAAATAATACCTGGTTCACAATTAATACTATCAGTAGGCACTACTGGACTAATGGCAAAGGGTAATAGACCCAATCCAGAACCTGGCAGAATCATTAGGAATAGAAGTTTCTCATGAAATAAAAACATTTTTATATAAATAACATTTCATTAATTCTTACACTGCCAACTGCAATTTTTCTTTTAGCAAAAGATGATGAGCTTTCCTGTTAATCTTCCAAATTTAGAAACTCCGCAGCTGCTTCAAGTCTCACTAAAGATGGCCTAAGCTTTATTACTCTCCTGGTTAACACAAAACTGGAATGATGCTTCCTTGTAAACCAAACTTTGCAATGAGTCTCTCTATGGCAAGGTAAGAATTAAATATATGCACTCACTTTGCATGCATTGAATCAAGCGCTTTCAGAAAGATTATTTGTTCCCATTAAAACCCCAAGGTGTTGCAAGCTCTATTTATAAGTACTCTTTTTAACTGCTTCACCACAGGGCACATGCTTTTAGTTAAAAATAAAACAAAATAAAAATAAAAAAGCATATAATTGTATGAATTATATCTGTTTTTTTAGCAGCCACCTCAGCAAGTATTTCTGAAGTATAACGATGCCTTTCCTGAGGCCACAGAATACGGCCAAAATTATAAATCTTCCTGGTCAACAGAAAACCAGTAGGCATTAATTCTTTAGACTAATTTTCTAAATAAACCCAACCTAATTTGGGGGGGTTTAGTTAAATATTTTTCAACATAGCTTATCTCATTAGAGAAAGAATGTTGAGTAATAAGATTTTAGCACAATTCTGGTGTGTTACTTTTCTCTGCTGATTCTCATTTAAAAAAAAAGTATTCTGTTGTATTGAAATAGCTTTTATTTTCTATGTTTTGGATACAATAAAACAACAATACTTGCAGCTTATTTTCAAAGCTTTGCGTAACTTGAGTATTGTTCTGTATTTGATAAATATGAATATTTCCCCTTATATCGCCAAATTATTTACAATACATTGCACTTCTGAATTTGATTTAATAACTGTGCAATATATAGTTTTAAGTCTGTGACTTCCTATTCAATATTATTAAGTAAGGGTTTGTCTAAAAAAATTCCAAAGACTAATTTGCTTATATATTTTAACTCTAACGTTGAACACAAAAAAGGCAGAAAAGAGGGGGGAGGATTTTCAATAAGTTTTTGCTCTCACAATTAGTTTTATACAAGTGTGTTTTATTTTTATGTATACATAATTATATACCTTGATAATAAAACCTTTCCTAGCCAAAACTGCAGAGAAAATCAGTTTGTTCTCAATTGACTTTTAAAATTGCATAAATTATGAAACCTTTATATAAACTTGCATCATAATTCATCATATTTTAAAGTTACACACTCAGAAAATGTGAATGTATTCCCAGATATTAAAAAGTCAATTTTATATAAGGGTTGCTAACATCAGTATTACTATAACTTTTCCTCATTTGCGATTTAAAACAAAAACAGTATAATTGCAGTATTTTGGCCCTAGAAAGTACATACTAATGGTATAGAATAAATTGGTAAATTTGGAGATGTATTTCAAAATGTCATCGAATTAGGAATCAAATTTAGGTGGGAAAATCCTTATCTTTTATGGTGAAAATCATATAGGCGATATTTTAGAGTCAGCTTAGCAATAAAGAGAATGTTTTCATTATTTTAATCGAGATAACTTTTCATCTTCCACAGGTTATATTTGGAGAGATTTGGTTATACTCCAGAACAGTAATGTTAAAAACCACCAAGTCAGCAGCCAAATGAAGCAAGACCTTTTAATAGGAGTAGTTAGGTAACTATAACAATTTTGTGTGATTTGTGGGGGGACTGCATGCTTTTTCCTTCTTTATATCCCAGCAACTGAGGTTAAAAAACCAAAGCCAAACTAGCAGATATTGCAGCCTTCATCACTTACAGGTCTTGCAGCAGCCATCATTATACGTCTGCACAATTCCTCCGTTCTAGGAAAATAAGAGGAGAATATATCAAAAAAGACTGTGCCCCATGCAAAGGTGAATTGTATTTCCAAGACATTCCGTGTTTTAAAGAAGTCCAAATAATAAAAAATAGCATCACTGAAATCAAGAGAATTACACAGATAGGTATCAACTGAAGGTTTGGTTCACCAATTCTTTACAGCCTTTGACATTGAAAATGAACTCTTATTAAACTCACTGCTTATGTGATCTGACCGAGTCTCCTTTGAATAAGCCACTTAGTTTCTATAAGAATCTTTTTATATCATCCACTACCATCTATTTCTCCACCACTGAGAGTTATGAGGATAGTTTAAAAAATTCGTGTATGCAACTTTGCTGATGATGTAAAAGGATTTACACTGATCATATGCCAAGGACCAAATTCATACCTAATAAGTAGCTCTTTGCAACATTAAATATATATATGTATATACACACACTTTTGAAAGAGAATATTAACTGCAGAATTTTAGAACCATTGGTGTGCTCAATTCTTTTTCTCAATTGTAGTCTTTGTTATTGGTTTCTTCTAAATTGCTTGTTAGCTAGAAAGTAAAAATGTATGAAAGTGAAGAAAATGTCCTTTTGAAATTAAAAGAGAGCATATGAGAGAGAAAGACAGAGGAGAGGCTGTCAGAATCTGTCAGAATGGGTGCAAGCAAGAAACACGCGCCCACAATTTTAATGCATAGTCCAGAACTGCACATCAAGCACACAACTGAACATAAATAGCACTCTTACGATAACAATAGTCAAAAGACATTTTTCATTTTCCATCTTTTCATGCTAGCATGCATTTTTTATCTCATTACAGAAAAATTACTGAATAAGTTGTTCAAGAACTTCTTAAATGAGCACTTAAACTCAGCTTGCATATTCCTAAATTATCCTGAGCTGCCTGTTAGAAGAGCTTTCTCCTCGGCTACTCGTTCAAGTCTACGCTCAGCATCTCTGAAAAACAGGTCAGACTGATTCAGGAAGTTAATTTTAGGGCTCCATTCTTTAAAAACTTAACCATTATTGCTAAGGAAAGATCCTAATAGATAGTGACAAAAGGGTTCCAAGGAAGAAACTCAAGCATAAAGTCAAAGTAGAACAGGCATTAATTTAAGATAGAATGCCTTTTTCAGGATTGGAAGAAATAAGGACGTATTTAAACAAATGCAATGGATAAGTAGGACTTATGCTAAATTTATAATCGGTAGTCAAGGCAGCAATGGTACTTACCCTCTCTACAGTATATTTTTTTATTATTATTTGTAGCTTATATTAAATATATGGTGTACTGCAAGTGCACGAATTGTAAGAAGTATTATAAAGTTAGAGAACTATTAAATTAGAAATTAAAATTATAAACAAATAATGAAGAATCCACATCCTTCAAACCAGTTTATGTGGGTATGCCATATTTACATTTTTAGATATATGATGTAGGTAGATACCCTTTCATGTATGATAGAGATTTTTTGTTATGTTATACAAAGTTTACTTTAAGAGATAATAAAGTTTATATATATTCTGTCATCTTTCTAATTTTTGCACAGCTTAAGGAATTTTTAATATAGCCCACTTTTATATGCAGCATTTCTGAATTGCTTGATCCAATTTTTTTAGTGTATGTGTACTACAAACTTGGCAAAGTGTTATTCCAAACTAAAGAAAGACATAGTGATTAGCACTTCATATAGTAGTATCTCAAGTGTGATTCCAATTCCACAATACTTTAAAATCAGTCATCACTGAGACCCAAAACAAACTTTCATACTTCTCACAGATATTTTGTCAGTCAAAAAGCAAACAGGAACATAGAAAACAAGACTGTAAATTGCTCGCTTACATGTTTTTACCTACCACTTTTTTAGTTTAAAGAAAGTGCATGAAGGTATGCATGGGTTATCAAGTGTGAGCCATACTCCAGATCAGTTATTGTCACTTACCTCACCCAAAGTACAAACCTTTGTACACTCAGTGTCATTAAAAGGGGGGCAGACAACACTCGATCCCAGTATGATGGCCCCCGCAGCAGTCTTTGCACACTTGTAGTTGGTGCAGTTGGAGCTCCAGGTGCTTCCTTCCTGAATATATAAAACAAAACCATTGTCAGGAAAGACAAAACACTTCAGCTTTATCTGCAACCCCAAATGTCTGGAAAAGTGATGCCCTCATGCTGTAGTACCTACTGGAGTGGAAAGTTTGTTGCAGACCACCCATAGGCGGCTCTACTCTCCAGCATGGGTATCCTAGTGCAGAACGGAAGGGCTCTGTGCCAGGAAAAAAGTCTGATAGTTTCTTTTGCTTCAAGAGCAATGGGAAGCATGAACCAAGTCATGGCCAACTTGAACCCTACCCTGCACTTGGAGCATATCCAGACTTAAGTAAATTATGACATTCATATATCTTTGTAGGAAATATTACAACCAAATGAAATAAGGTATTCACCTAGTGTGAAATGGCAGTCTTTAAATAAACACACTTTTTTCCTATCATATACCATAAATAGTCCCTAAGTGCATAACCAGCAGTAAGGAGGTATGAAGCAAGAATCACAGCATGAGTTGACTAAGAAGTGACTGTCAGATACCTCTTTATCATGTCATTATAGTTATTTTCTATCTCCGTCCAGAGGCACTTACCTCATACACAATTAGTGTTCCATTCTCAGTATGAAAAGAGCAGGACACGTTTTGACAGGTACCACAACAAGTATGATGACTGGAGGAAGGCATATATATTTGATGCTGGAAAGAAAGGAAAGCAAAAAAAAGGAAAAAACAAGTATTTTGTAATCATACAGTATATGAAAATTCATTGATTTCTGAAACTACAAATACCAAAAGAAACAATATATGGATGGATGGATGGATATGTTTACGTATGCTACTAGAAATTGCCTCTCAAATTAATCCCGGGGACACAAGATACACATCATCACTGTTAAGTTCTCAAGTTCTTGCTGAGCAAATAGGACTAGCAAAAGTCTTCACTTTGACTTCTATCCTAATTGTGTAGTTGTGCTCACAAATAGCATCATTCCTGTATTTTAACAATACTCACAGCTTCACATTGCTGGGAACAGTTCACCATTGTAAAATGCATGGCATTGTATCCTGTGTTCTGATCTTTTTCTTGTAAACACTGTACAGTGTAACAAAGGTCTCCGTCCAAGTACTGAATCACTGACTGTCCAGGATTCAGTACTGTGACCTCTTGGAAGATGCACACATCATCCTTCTCTAATACCAAAATAAATAAATGTTACCAGAGGAAAGAAAAATTCATCAAGCAAATTAACAGAATAGCTGTGAAGACAAAAGTAGGGCAAAGTCCTATGCTCTGCAAAAGTTTTCTAACTTTTAGGTTTGATTGGTTTGTGGTTTTAATTACCAAACAAAGCGGGGAGGAGGTATAATTCAGCTTAAGAAAATGCTAAACCATGCAAAACTGCCTAAAATTGATAGTGTTGCTTCTATGGAAGTAAAAAAAAAAAAAAATCTGTTGTTCTTATTTTTTAAAGAGTTCTAATATTTAACATTGGGCTAAGTACACTATATGAATTATTCTGTACATCACAAAATGTAGCCTTTCTGTCAACTAAAATAGTATATCTACAATCACCTGTGGGACAGTAATATGCTCAAGCTGCACTGTGAGTGTGTGCTTTGCTCCCAGAGGCAGTTTAGCCTGGGCTGCAGTCAGGATTGCAGCATGCCTCAAGCACCCCCCATGCACAGTACAGCTGAAATCTAGTGTACACGGGCTAGCTGAGTGAGGGAAGGGAGCAGAGGTTTGATCTTAAGACTGGGCACCTACCCTCTTGCTGGCTGGACAGGTCTGTTGCTCTGGTGTGAGGTGTTATCTCATTTGTGCTCAATAGTGGACTAGGAGCAGTCACACCGCTCACACTCAACTAAGGTTCACAACCTGCTTCCTATCTGCCTCTCACCAGAGAGACAGTACCTGTCTGTGAAAGCATGGGCAGTTTTATGACTCCCTTATGCCCTGCCAGAACAGACACAAAATGGATGGGTTAGCAGACAAAGCATCATATTCAGAAAAGAAAGCATAATTGCATAACTTAAACGTAATGTAAAATCAAGATGAAAGAGTGGTTACGTTTGAGAAGGTTATTATTGTCCTATTTCTGCTTTTTTGCATGTCCATTTTACTAAAAACTAAAAAAAAACCAGATAGGAATATGAAAAAGTTACCACAAGAGTAGTGAGTGCATCCACAAGTACTGGAAATGCTGCTATCTATTTTTTTAACTTCTCCCTGAGTATAAAAAGATAAAAGAGTTTGCAAAGTCATGCACAGTTAAATGTAGTGCTAAACAGACTGTTTTTCTCTAAAAATGTAAAATACTAGTTTCATCACTTCCACCCCTGCTTTCATAAAAGAGAAAAATTGCAATGTACTCAAGAAACAGTAGCACGTTCAGAGTTATTCAATGTATTTCTCTCTTTAAACAGGAGCAAAGCACTTCATTTTCTCTAGGAATGCATGTAAACAGCAAAGTCGCTAAACAGCAATTTTTCCTGAGATACAAAGCTATTTCAATAATAAACATATTAGCAAAAGGCTGCCTTCTATGAATTTTCTTCGAAAAGATAGGTAAAAACTATTGAAATTTGCAACTCCTGTTTAGACTTTACATTATGCAGTCTTCACAGAAGGGGAAGAGAAGGACAAGCTACAGGCATTTGACAGGGAAAATATCCCTGTCACTATGGCAATAATGGGAGTTTGAACATTCACTCATAATTATTTTCCAGATCACAGTCCCTATTACAAGACAGTATCTGAGGAGCAAAATATTTATGACGTCTCATATCAGCTAAATTCAATAACGTTGAATCATTTTAATCAAAAGCATAGATGATTAACAAAATAACACATTTCTCCATATGATACATATGATCATAAAGCTCATTCCTCATTAATTATTAAAAACAATTAGGAATTAAGTGGAAAAACTTCCCAGCTATTGTTTTGAGTCAACACTGAACAGAATAATATTACAGTTGCTTTTCTTCTTTTGACATCTTAAAACACACAGAGTAAAATTTCCCCAGGGAAATGTTGACAACACTGCAGAAACTTGATGGAGTTACATGCTTGAGCTGGGGACTGGGAGGCAGAGTCCCCAGCCTGTCCCTGTTCAGCCTTATCACCCTTTACAACTAATTGAAACAAGGAATGGAAGGGGAGGGTTAAGAGGGCTGAACACTATTAATAAAAATATCTAAAGGACAGTGCTTACCAATTTACAGGTCAGCATAATAGCGTTTTCACAGCTACATTCTGAGAAGAGAACAAGAAAAGCATATTAGTCAGCTAGCTAATTGTTAACTTTTGTTAGCAGCAGTGGCTAAGGAATAAAGTAATGATTACCACAGTGCCATTCTGGACAGCACTGCCCAGGTATTTTTTCCTTCACAAGTGTCATGTCATCTGTGCAATTCATAGGAGGCTCAGAACAAAGATTTTCATCGCAAACTAAATGGGGGGAAAAGACAGGTGTGAGAATTTACTCAAATTTCCTTTGATTTTTCCAGCTTGTATTTTTCTTGATAAACTATTCTAAAAATAATGAAATTTTTAATAAATTTTTATTGTGTTTCTTAAGCATCTCAATTATACTTGGAACTGAAAAATAAACCAAGTTTTTAAAAAGTGCTTTTAGTTGCCTTAGAACAAGTTTAAATTTTCAGAAAACATCACACAGCAATCATTTAATATTATTCCTAATTCAGAGTGACTCAAGCTGATAACAAGTACAGAAGACAACAACAATCACAGCTTTTGGAAAAACATGCTTTTTTTTCATCTCAGCTTTGTTGTAAAGCGTATTTCTGTAAGATAACAGGGAGCAACTGCCCTCCTGGGATGACTCTAATAAGAGAATACTTGCCTGTCCTATCAGAGGAGGCTTACTGGGACTCTGAAAAAAGACCACATACTAACTTTTTAGCTGCTAGAAGTTGGCAAAAACAGTTACAAAAGCCTTTGCAGAAACTTTCAGCTGGGTGCAAGTACTAGGAAAAGGAAAAGACCAAAATGTGGAACCACCTGAAGTAAAAATCACTAAGCTCCAAACTTACTGGAAGACAATTTAATTAATTGAAATTACCCAAAGACTGTAACAGGACAAGAGTTAGTGCACGAATACTCCATTGATCTAAGTTAAGCAGTTACACTTATAGACAATAATTAAGAACATACAACACAATTTCCGTGTTTTAGAAGGCTAAGAAAGTGACTATGTTACACTGCAAAGATTTTTCTTCTGGCTGCTCATTGTTTGAATAGTAGTCAACCCAGCAGTATTTGAAACCCTTGGCCTACTCCTTCCCCTAAAAGTTAACAGTGCAAAGAAACTGCCTAAACTCTAATATATGGTATAACAGAGGAACAACAACATGGAAGCTGTTTTATTACAGGTGTTTTAATATAAGAACAATTGTATATTTATACTCCAAGGATGGAATTCAGTTCCACATTAATATATCGGTGTTTAGATCACCTTGAAAGTAGCTATACACTGTCTGGTGAACTAAATAACCTCTCCAGACTCCATTGACTGGGTTGGTTAAACCACCACTGAGTATACCAAGATCTTTGAACCTACCTCAAATGCGGACACCTTCATTTAGATCTCTTCATGTCTATCTGAAGCCTGCCCTACATGATGAATCAAAAAAATCTCCACACACACACACTGTCATTTTTACTAAATTTGGTAACATACTGAACTGGCAACAGTTACACTCACCGCAGTAGTAACGAGGACAACAGTAATGTATGGTATTAAGGTCTACAGTCAGAATTTCCCCTTCATTACACAAGGGAACAGGCTCAATACAGGACTCACAAACTAAATTTAAAAAAAAAATCAGACATTTACAAAGTTTTAAACACTACAAAGTTAGCACATGTGAATTCTATTTAGCAGACTATGTAACAAGTCATATTATGTTTGTTACTTGGATAACAGAGCTTTTATGGATTGACGTTCAAATATAAAACCATAACAAAGTTCAAGTATGATGTTCAAAATTATGTTGGAAATAAAAGATCCCAAAACCCAACAATAATTCATGCTCCAGTCAGCCTGACCTGTGTGAAGTCCCACTGACCTCTCCAAGAATTCCAGGCTTAAGTTATTAGGTTTAGAACTATAGACTGTTTTTGTAAATACTGAACTAGTCCTTAGTTATCCATAAAAATATTAGAGGCTTCTTACCACAGACATAAGAGAAACAACAGGGATCTTCCTGTTTTGCTTCAACAATAAATTGATCTTCTCTGCAGTCCAGCTGGGAAGCATTGAAACAAACTGAAGGATCACATTCTGTAGGTTGTGAAATAAACAGTATTTTAAAAAGAGTCCCAGGAACAATACTAAAAAGATAAAGAAAAGATATTCTTCATCTCCTTAGTAAAACAAAATACCCCAAATGGACTGTAAATCAAAAGTGACACAAAACACAAAAAAATATTGGAGAGTGTGAAAAAAAAGACATCATTGCCTGGTGCTATTTACAATGTCCCAAAACAACTTGTAAGGAAAACTTTCTTACAACATGTAATACAAGTGTGGAAAATGTCCCAGTAACTGTGTTTATGTATTTCCCTTACCACATCGGTACTGTGGGCAGCAGGACAGGGCATGGTAGCCTACCACTAATTTTTCACTGGGTTTGCATGTTGGAATAATGGCATCACACAATGACATGTTACATTCTGTGGGATAAAAAACAATCAATTTTGACATATTTGAACAGATACAAGTGCAAGTCCTATAGCTCAAGATATTTATACCATACAGTATAGAGATCCACAAACTAAGAGCAGCCCAAGTCAGCTTAAAGAGCACTCCATACCATCATGTAGACCTCAGCTCAACCCAGGGCAGGTATAGCTCCATTCATGTGGCTCTGTGCAAGCACAGTTATATCCCTCTTAAAGCAGGTATTTACTTGCTATGCTTCCTACACATGAAGCCAGCTAAAATGTCCCAGTGAAAATATTCCCTAAACAAATTGACAGTACAGTGTCTGTTACAGGCATCTAACTAATGAGCAAAAGCACCATATCAGCTGGACCATTTTTTCTCATTTTCCTTGAAGATGTTATGAAGAAGTATCTTTTGCTTAACATTTTAGGAGCAATAAGCTTATTCCTTTTTCTAGCAACCATGGCTAGACAGAATATTAGTATTCAGTGATCAGGTCACAGAAGACTGCTTCTGGGAAGCAGCAGTAGGTCAGAGGATACTGCTCTTGACACCAAAGCATTAATAAGAAAAGCAAACAGGCTCTGATAACTACCACAATTACCAAGGTACTTCTATCATCTAGTATTTATCAATTTCTTTTGAAGTTCCACCCAAGAGCTTAAAAATTCATTTTTAACAGAAGTTTTGTTTCACTAGTGGACTTCTAAGAAAAAAAAATTATTTCAGTGAGTCAGTTCTTAGAAAGAAAAGAAGCCTGCTTTGCTGGCCCAACCAGCCACAAGTAGCTAAAAATGATTTCTGAAAAGTGTTATCTTGAACCATGTCTAAAGCTTGTCATCTGCCAGTGAATGTCAAGCACTTACCTTATATTTCTGTTACTGAAAACAAGTGTGGTACATACCACAAACTTTCTTTGGACAGCAAGCTCTCTCTTTGATGACATGGACGATAACTTCCCCTTCCCTTTCACAGACTGGTGGTGGATCCTCGTTGCATTCGGGTTCTACAGCAACAACGCTTCCATTTTCTAAACAGTTGTACATGCAACAGCCTCTCATGGACCCATTCCAGATCTCCCCAGCAGAGCGGGGTTGTCCTTGGTTATCTGTACATGCTGAGAGAAAAAACATTATATCCCTTCAACAAGTAGAGAGTGCACATTTCCTGTAAGCAACTATGAATTGCATAAAATTATTGCATAAAATAAGAGTGCTGTGGAGCATTATGATCAAGGAATCCAAGAAAAGATGGTGACCTTAAAAATACCAAATGAACAAATGTTTCGCTAAGGGTGAAAGTAAATACTGAGTGCAAGGGAAAGAACCTGCCCATGCTATTCATTCCTTCCTGAGTATTCCAGGAAAGAAAGGGGAGCTACGGACCATCATTTTTCCCCAACAGAAGTACATCAGCACTGGGTCTTGAATCCAAGTGAACTGAAAGCACAAACTGCTGTAGCTTGAGATAAAGCTGGGCTCTGTTGAAGGGAGCTATACCAGAATCCCACTTACTGAGGATTGATACGGAACTTAAACATCGCTTACACTGAGCTACGGTTAATATTAGCATATCTGCAAAACCACTTGGTTCTGCTGCACTTACTACATTTTTCTTCTGGTATACAGAGGTCAGAGTCTGTTCTATGCAGAATAGTGCCATTTTTACACACACAGTCTTCCCTTAAATAGGAACAGGGAGAATCTTCATAGAACCATTTATTCAAGCATGTCTTGGCTTCACAGGGTTGCACACAAGGCTGGTATTCCTTGCCCTCAGGACAACTCAATGCTGCAAGTCGTAAAAATAGGACATTGAGTGCTGCTGTTATTCTTTCAGAATTTCATTGGATAAACAGGTAGTAAGAACAAGTGAGTGTATCATAGAAAGCATACTTTTATATTTTTAACTGTACTTTAGGTAAGCAACTAATTCAATCGAGGTTAAAACTGATTCATGACACTTTGACTAAAACCTTACATCTTAAGAACTTGTACCCTGATTTACTAATGCTGTGATAGAATGAGATGGTACTTCCAATAACAATAGAAAGAAATATATGTTTAACTCATCACTGAACACTGCAGCCGTATAAAGCCACATTGGGGTATAGAACATGGCTATCTGCTTACAACAGTAATCAGGTGTCCTCCATTTAATGCAGATATTGTGCTTGTTGCATAAAGCCACATATGCAGAAAGTGCATCACACTCATAATTCCAAAAATAAGTACTGTTGATCCACATCTTTTCACAAAACTCCTGTGGTGACACCTAGGAACATATTGTAGTTGAGAATTAACAAGTAGAAGAGCTTTCTGTGGTTAAAATAAATCATTAATTACAAGAAATAATACAGCTGCAAGGGAAAAAATCACAAGCAGTGTCTAAAGTAAAAAATACCATTTATTTCCAAACACTCATCCTGCAAAACTTGAACTGCCAGAATTTTTTATATTCATTAGTAGGCACAGAACACAGTCCTAATGAGACTGTCACACTACTTACAAGAACTTTTGCAGTTTAGCCCTGTCAGCTAGAAGTCAACAATCTCAGCTAAACATTGCTGCTGTATCTTCCATAAATTCCTGATGTGAATGAATTATTACTGAATGCTCTGTTTGTGTGTCTATAGCACCCAATAGCCTACGTTACTGTAAATACAGGTGGTCCAACCTGTCTTATTTCTGTTGGTTTTATTTGTATAAGCTTATAACAAGGTGGAAAAAGTCAGATTTTTGTTTCATTCTGCCTGTTCACTGCTGTGCTGCAGCCCAGCTCTCCCTGTGGTTTCAGCAAATCTTCAAGCCCTCGCTCACTTCTGCCATGAAGTTCACTACACTGACGACTCTGTTACCTATCCTTGTCCAGTTGCTTCACACCTGTGAAGCGCACAATACACTCCGTTTGCTCTGGCTCTGCCACCATCAGGTATATGAAAGAAAACAAATTTCATAATGGATGAACCAAGTGCTTGGCAATTTTGATGCTATGTCAGGTTTTGCTATAAACCAGGAAAAGATGCAATTGCATTGTATCTGAGGCTATGAGAGTTCCCCCCGGAAACATATATGAAGTAGGAATTCTGACCATTCAGATTCCCTTTAATTATTTTAAAATGAGATACGTTAAAACAATTATGAAAAGCATCCTGCTACCCACTGGTGCTACTCTCCCTTCTTGATTCCAAACTGCTTACCACTGCTCCCTCCCATTAAATGTCTGTGGCAAATATCTATTAATCTTTTTTCTTTTTTTAAAAATCTCTTTAACCCCTTCCTTTCAGAAGAACTCCTTCCATTTTTTTTCTGCCTGGGGAAAGTGAGGAGAGGTCTTGGGAGTTTGAAGGAAGGGGCTCAGCTGCCTGCAATACCTTTAACAGGATTTGTCTGTGATGAAAACCGAAGAGTAACACAACACAAACCAAGGGTGGAAAGGCAGAACAGCAAGAAGTGAATCAGGAATCTGGACACATCTATTTGAGAAAGAAAGGGCCACTTGAGTAATTAATCCTTTTTATTTTTAATTAAGTGGGAAAAGTGTGTCAGACCTCAGAGGTTTGGGGCTTCCTCATTTCCCATTCCAGGAAGCAGCTGTGCTGCACTACCCACCTCTAGTGGTAGTCTGCATGCTACAGCTATATTCCCTGCGGAAAGTACAGTGCCCAGAAACAAATGATAACGATTTCTGTAAGAAATGCTACCGAATTGTCAACGTGGTAGTGACTATGGCAGAATTTGTTTATCTAGAAATTTCTTTAGTCAGATTAATCTCAAACTGCATGAGTTGCTGTTGTATGCAGCAGAAGTACGAGGCTTTCAGTTCTAGTGACATGTGCCAATCATTTATTAAAAATAACTCTTTTGGAATGCGTTTGTGTTGAGAGGATGATCTGGTGTCCCTCCTTTGAGCTTTACCTACTCAATAATTTAAGAAACAGCATAATAGCGTAGGGATCCTGTAGATGTGTGTTTACAATGGACAACATGACAAAGGTATTAAAGCCACCCAGCCAGCTGTCAACTCATGAAAATAAGCAAAACATAAAAAACATGCATATCTCTCTCACTCTTTTCTTAACTATACATCTTCTATTTAATTTGCACCTGGAATTTCTCTGATCTTCGTACTCACTTTCTTGTGACAAGGAATGAAAATGCTTCTGTTTAACAGTTCCATACAGTATGTGCAGTTATCTTCAGTACAGTTTCTTACTGGCCTCCTGGTTGTTACATCAAGTGATTTCTCAATTTCCCAACTCTTAATGAACACTTCAATTTCCTCCATATTTGTAATTACGGTCCTGTTTTGCATTTTCAGGTCGTCAGTAGGGTCTCCATTACACACCCCTGGAGACAGATTCACATTCAAAGCACAAACAAACATGCCATATTACTTCCTTTGGGAGAGAAAAGTGCACTTGATAAGGTAAGATTAACATTGCATCAGGCTCACCTGTAAGACTTGGTCATCTGAATTTATAAATGAAAGTAGCTAGTTCCAACTTTCTACTTGTGATTTTAGTTGTCAGCTCAATGGCTTAGCAAAACAAGCAGATCATACAATACAAGTAATGATACTTTTCCCAACAATGAATTAACTTTTGAGAAAAACTGCTACCAAAATGTGCTGTTGAGTGAGGCAAATTCACTGACATGGCACCAGATTCTGATCTCATTCTACTGAATAGCAATCAGCTCCATGGGAGTAAATGTAGATGGCTTTCAAATTGACGGCACTTCGCTGATGATTTGACACTGTATGGAAACTTAATTGAACATTCTAAGTGCAAGAAGTTACGAAAGGAATCTTTTGATGAACAAATTGCTTTCTCTAGAGAAAATATTTTTCTTACCAATTTATTAATACAAAACCACTGAAAAAAACACCCCACCCAAACCCCTGACATCTATTCGCTACCTGAATTCATTATTGTATGTATCCAGTTAATTCATCAGTGAAAACATATACTTCCTATAAGCACATAACAAGCCATTAATGCCAAAATTTTTATCTTCATAATAGTGTTTTACAGCCCAAAGCTCCTATATCCTTTTTTCATTTTCCTTCTGCATTTCTATCCACACCGTAAGTCCTTGCCTTCATGCTTCGAGCCCTGGATCCTGATACTCTCCAGGGTCCCTTGTTAGAACTGGGCTAGCCTGGCGTGACAGGCTCTGTTATTCTTTCAGACACCATGGAGAAATACAGAAGATGGTATTTGCATGATAAGAAACATTTGACAATAGCACTGCTTCCCAGTATTCTTAACACTTCTGCTTCTTGCTGCTGTCCTAATGCCATTCCACAAACTGTGCTGGTGTTACAGAATTGCAGAATCAATACAGCTTTAAAAATAAAGCCAATTTACTACATAGTCTTACAGTTGTTTTCAGTATGAGAAGGAAAGGGTAGGAGAATCCCAGACAGGAACAATCGGCAGAGAATAGGAAAGAAGCACTGAGAGAGGCTTCAGATTTTACTGCAAAATATCGGGTAGAGCAACACTTTACAACGGAGATTGGAGTTGTCTGCATAGTCTTCCTCCTTCTGTATTTTCATGGCACAAAGAGTAACTATTCTATAATCCTTCCTACATTTGACGTCATCTCATCCCAATCTTTTTCAGCGTGCATAACGAAGATAGCATGATAGTAGGAAAAGATGCAGTACCTGCCAGGGCCAGCATTTGCCTTCTCTCATTAGATCTAGGAGAACTTTCCTTTTGTTCAAGCAGAACATAGCAATTGATTTTAAACACTTAATTTTTTTATATGTATATTTAAACCATATTTGAGTTGTTTTGTTTGCTTTTAAACTAAAAGCAGTTTAAAAGATCATAAAAGTTTGTTTTCCTGTTCAATATGGGGTAGATTCTGTAAAATTACAATGCACCAGAAAAATGGACATTTATGATAGAATTAAAATAACTCTAAAATACCTGCTTACACTTTTCCATATAATCCATAGTGGCAGAATTATAAAAAGGCTACCAGGAAAGCCTGAAACATGCTAAATTTACTATCATTGTAATTTAAGTCTGAGACACCCCAGCACAGTTTTGGACCCTAGATCCAACCTTAAGAGGTCTGAATCTGGATTCACCATTCTCAGGGGACTTGGACCGTTCCCAAGATACACCTTTTATCGGTATTTGCATAGCGATACGCTGCCACTGCTAACATCTGACAGTTATTCTTTTCTCCCGAAATCACTGAAATATACTGTCACTACCTGAATTTCTTCAGCAGCCACTTCTTCATTGAAAATTTCCCCTTTCCTCTACTTGACTTCAACAATATTCTTAAACACAGGCAGAGTTGAGTATATTTTTTAAAACTTAATTAGATACTTGATCATTACTTGCTCTGAAAACTACTTTATTAGCAAGCAGTGCTTTGAAACAGAATTATTGATTTATTATTATTAATTAACAGAATTTCACAAGCCCACCTCAAATAGGATTGGCAATGTAGTTAGTGGGGGTCACAAGGAGAGCTATAGGGACAGCAAGTCAGACACAAAAGGGAGATGTGAATTTTAAATGGGAAATTTTTAAATAAGAAAAGAATTGCCACCATAGCCTCACCACAAAGTCCTTCTGTCTTCATCGATGTGTTAGAGTGTAATCCATACTGTATATCTATGATGCCTGTAATATGAGCCCACTTGATGCTAATACCAGCTGGGGTATTAACGACATACATTGCACCAGTATCCTGAATACTCAGTCCTTCTTTTGAAAATGGTAATGATTGAATTACAGAATCCACTACTACCTAAAATAAACCAAATACATTTTAGGGATAAAAGCAAATTGAGATGTATTTTATCTGTCTTTACATCTTATAGCAAAAGATATTTTTTACAGCCTTTGCCATGTACAATAACAGTCACAGTGCTTACATCACAAAGCTTCCTGTCAGTGCCATTTCCTATAACTGCAAATGAAGTAGGCATGATAAAAAATAATGATACAGAAATCTTTTCTAATTAAGGAAGCAATAAATCTTATTTATCACATATCATATGCTATAACAACAAAAAACCCTCATCCCAATTATTCAAAGTTATCTGTTCTGACTTGTTATTGACTAGCAGGAAAGACAGCTTAAGATTTATCATGTCTTGGAACATTTCTGTTTGGTGCTAGGTTATCTGGAAATACAGTCTCAAGTATAAATTACTTTTGCAGCTTTAAAATCTCAAAAGAACTTTGAATTGTCATTTTGGATTAATGACATGTAAGTGAAACATAGTATCAGAAATGTATATTTTTTGCTTCTAGCTCACCATAAATTGCTGGGAATCTGAACCACAGAAGTAATCCTAATCTGTAGTACATTCACTATAAATCTGATCTATTGCATTCTACAACAGAATAGCTCTCCAGCTATCTTTTAAGTGTACACATGCTATATACTGGTGATACTTACTTTTCTCGCTAAACGATTGATAAGTAATTTATATGTGCGTGTTGTTACATTTAATTTCTTAAAACAGAGCCCTGAAGTGCTTGCAGGGGGAACCTTGAAAGGAAAGTGACAAAAAAGTTTAGTTACTATTGTTTTTCTAATTCTGTACCAGTGCTATAGGAAATTTTTTCAATACGTGTAATATTAATGCATTTTATAATTAGTAAAAGAAAAAAGTACTCACTAGTTTTCTTATTGAATTTGCACTCTGGAAAACATTACAAAATAGATTAGAAGTGCAATGATAATCAGCAACATTTTCATTTGGCAAAAATAAGTTGACTGTTTTCTTTGTGTTTGAAGTTGTTCTACAATCAGCTTCATAATTAAACTAATTTAATGTATTCCTTGCAAATAATAAAAAATACACATTTCCCAGCTAATGTAGTGTACCTTTCTATGAACTGTATTTAGAATCTTGATTTACTTGTTAAAGATTTAAATCAAAGGGGTTTATGTGGAAAATAATACAGAAAAGAGAACACAATGACCTGAACAAGTTGAATTAAAATACATAGAAATACAATGGTCATGCCAATAAAATCCCCCGCCCTAACTTTGGTAAAACTGCTATTTTAACAAGGCATCTTTCTGCACAAGATTGCAACTTGTAAAGACCATACCTCAGCTGGCTTTTAACTTAACAGGTTTAACATTGAGAGCAACTCATTACCAGCATCACGAGATTCAGCATATGTTGCAAAGCCCTTTCAAAAAATATTTCTTAAAGAACTACAGCTACAGACTTCTAAAGCTCATCTGCCTATGATGTGAGCTGTGTTCACACCTTTAGACTGCAACCAAGAAACAGTGAAGAGAGCAATTTAAAAGAAAACCTCTAAAACAGTGTAAGACTCAGGACTTAAAAATCAAGTGTACGGTTGCCCAGTGAGAGTAGATAAGAGACCAAATAGGGATGGGAAGGAAAGAAGCTTGATGAAGTTCCTCATCAGGAACTTGTTTATCCACAAACCAAAGGAGGAAATACAAACCAGTTGTTCAAGGGTTGCATAAATTAGGACTACAAACAATGCAAAGGAAATGCATGTACAGACTCCAAGGATGAGACTGACCTGACCTAAACTGGCAGTCTAAAAATAAAGTGGCTGGATCTCCTCTGTAATGCAGAGGGTTAGACAACTACAAAGAACAACTCATCACACTAATCCCAAACTCATTAATACCTTCCTAAAATAACTACAAAAGATTTTTGTGACAGTTGAAAATATTTTAGTATTTTGACCATATTGTAAAGTGTAAATTCAGGGCCTCAGGAAGATTTGTGGGTGGAGAGCCTGAAGTTATTCAGAAGTTATGTCACCCCACCCCTGATAATTTAAAAGGAACCTACATTTGAATTTCCTTAAACATAATACAACAATTACTATTTAACATGAGATAAAATTATTTTATCTAGACAGCATGATGAAGCATGCTGCTTGAAAATTAAATAACTTGCTGTTTTTCAATGGTTATGGCTTTTATCTGAAACTTCTAAGTAAGTGATACATTTTTGCAGAATTTCATACCTATAACACAAAAATTCAAGAAACTATTACAATTATTGTGGGAATGCAAGAATCTTACCTGATTAGCAGGACATTTTTCAATATGAGCAACAATAATTTCTCCTGGTAACTTGACTAAAATGTAGGAAGCCATGTTACAGAGGGCTATGTTGTTTCCATCGAATGTAATAACACTCAGTTCAGACAGTACAGAACATTGACCTAAAAAAGAACTGTCATTTAATGAGGTTACCACAAAACTGAATACAAGGCATTTCTAAAAACTTTCAGTTTTAGCAATATTTGCTTTCATATGAGATATGTTCATATATATATTGATGACCTTATTCTGGAGACAGCATATTGAGCCATAAGCAGAAGGAAGTATCTACGTTACTCAGTGGAAATACCTTAACCTATTGCTATGTGTCCAGGGTAGGGGAGGAAGTTTGAACTGGTGAAAATTTTCACATAAGTCAATGTTTTATGGGCAAGATCAATGAATCTGTACATTGTCAAATAAAATATATGCATTAAAATATACATATTTTTGAGATACTGATAACAAGAGACTGATCTTTCCTGTCTTGAGACAAATATTTAAAAGTGCAATATTGGTTTCAGTAATGCTGTAAGGTTTTTAATATGACTTCTCTGTGGCCTTTTTGTTCCCTTGGCAGACAGTCATCTGCCAGTTTCTGCAGCTTCTAAATATGAGTAGAAACTGCAGTTGGAGTTAAATGAAATTTGGGAGTTCTGTCTTTCAGAAAATGCCAGTATTTCATTTGCTTTCTTCACAAAATGTTGAAATCTCAGCATTCCTACTGACAGATATTCTGAAAAGTCTCAGCTGGAAAATGTTGATGTTCATGTTGCAGATCTCATTTCAATGTTTTCATTCAAAACAAAATATTTGACTCTAAAATATTTTACTCTCTTGAATGTTAATTCAAAGATACCAAAACATTCACTACATTTCATTCTGTTTTGCTGGTGAACAGCTCTTTTAAATTCATTCCAGTATTCAACCTCATATTTCCACTGTAATAAACCCTTAATTTATTACTTGAAATTTACAGATCAAGGCATTATGTTGTATTTAAAAATAAAACAGTGACTTACAGGGACATTCCCAGTCTGGGCAACAACTATCAGTGTTAACTTGAACTGGCATTCCTCGAAAACCACAGTCTGGCTTCTGCACATCCTTAGGGCAGTTTCTTGAAAGGTTGTATAACATCCAACCCGTATTAACACATACATACTGGCTACATTTGTCGACAGGTTCAAGGTATCTTGGCTGTCATGTAAGGAAAAAACAACCAGAATCAACTTTACATTAATTTCCCTTATAAAGGCCAAGCGGTCACTTGTTCATTGCCCTGCTCTGAGACAGAATCTGTGTATCTACGTGACCCCCCCATCACTTATTTTGGAATGAATTGCTTTTGTGTGGTTGTAACAGGTGATAATGATGCACATCCATTCACCCCCACCCTTCCTGTTCCATCTAGCTTTGGTGCAATACTCTATGTAAAGCATTTTGCATTGAGGCTACATGTTATATTCAGTAATAATCTGAAGCATTTTAAGAAATACAGAATCATGCGTTCCCATCATTTTAAACCCTATGACAAAGAAACAAATGGAAAAAAAAAGAAAGACAGGGTGAGATTATGCAGAAACTCAAAAATTCCATGAATTATGGCTTTTTCTGCACCTCAGAAATATATTTTGCTATCTAGAATCAGCACATAGCTTTAAAAGCGTTTTTTTTCCAGAGCAATACATCCAAGTTGCAGAATATACCAGGGCAGTATAAAAGCAGCAATATAACAATCCTCTAAGAATAATTTAGTATTTTAAAATATACAAATAAAAACAAAAATAGGAGATTTAAGATCTCTGGTATTACATATATAGCATAACAGATTGGACTGAAAAGAAATATATATTTTAACACACAGGGGCAAGTAAAACTGATCATACCACACATTCAGAATATGTAGACATCAGTGTATGCATCATTGTACCAAAGGAAGTCTTGTCAGCTATAGCTGCCATTGTTTCCGTGCTTGCCAGAGAAGTTTGTGTTTCCACAGGACCTGAAAAGGAAGGCAGAGCCGTTCCACCACTAGAATGAGATAAATCTATTATAGTTCTCGTCTGCAGCTCTGTGGCCTCTGTTAAACTGAAATAAGGTGTAATGATTTTCTGTGTTGGGATTTTTGACCAATCTGATGTTGTTACATCCGGGACTCCAGAAAGAGAGAGATTTTTTACTGAGGTTGTATTTCTTGAAAAAGGTGAACTCTGAACTGCAGATACTGTCAAATAAGGCAGGGAAGATTTCTCAGTTGTGGTTGACTTTGTCTTGGTAACATTTCTTTTCTCATGTGAAGTATGACCACTTTCTAAAATAGCCACAGTTCTTTCAAAAGAGGTTGTGTATTTAACTTCTGAAGCCGTAAATGAGGTACTCTTCGTCTGTAATAATGGACTTGTAGTACCAGTTGTTTTGATTATCATCATTTTTGGAGTTTCTTTAGTGCTCTGTGAAGCTTGAGTTTCTGCAGTTGTAAATAAAGATTTCTGTGACACATGCATGGGTGTTTCTATGGTGGTAGGAACTGAAGCTGAAGCCATATAAAACTCCAAATCGGCAACAAAAGAATCAGTGGGTTTTGTAGTAATCCTAGAGGCTACAGTAGTGCCAGAAGCAACTAATAAACTGGCTGAAGAGCTAGGTGGTATTTTTGCAAAAATATAAGGTGCTTTTAAGGACGTAACATTCACCGTTGTGTTCGTGATCATTGGTGTAGTGGATTGAGTGATGATTCCAGCTGATATGGCTGATATTGTTCCATCTTCTTCTGAAGAACTTACCGAAGAACTCTGTTTTCCTAGAGAAACAGTAGAGATACGAGTGGTCTTAGGAGGAGGTGAAGACATAGAGACCCTACTGGACTGGCTTTCTAAAGTGGCTTCGGGAGTTGTAGGCATTAGTAAAAAGGGCATTATAATGGATATTTTTAGTGCTGCTGAAAGGCTGGTAGAAGGGCTTATGTTTAAAGTGAATGTAGAAAAACCTAGAGAAGTTGCAAAGTCTATAACTGGACTTTTTGAGGTTCCTTGTGTACCTAGAGATGAAACTGGTGTTTAGGTAGCAGTTACATTTTGTGTTAATGATGATGTCCTACTGAATATGGGAATCAATGAGGAACTTGTAGTATGAGATATCACATAAGATGGTACTAATGTTGATAACAAGATTGTAAATAAAGATGATGGCCTTGTAAGAGAAGGATCTTTAGGAATGAAAGTGCCTGAATTTTGTGCAACAGGGTCAGTTTTCAATTCTGTATTTAAATTTTCTGTATGTGAACTGCTTGGGTACTCTGTAATTTCTGAAGTGGTTATTAATGTAGCATTTAGAGGTAATACCAGTGTCCTAAGAGGGAAGACTGTAGACATAATGGATTTCTTTGGCTTTTTAGAAATGGATGACACTGACAAGGAATCAGTGTGCATTATGTATTTATTTTTTGTTGAGGATTTACTTGCTATAGACATATCAGGGATTGTTGGATAGACTAGAAGAATGGAAGCAGTGGAAGGTACTTTGTAAAGACTTTTGGAGGCAACAGTGACATCTGCCATAGCTTTGGGCTTCAGGGAGGTAATCAGAGAATGCACTGGTACAGATACTGTGTGTGTTACAGGACTCGAAGAAGTGTTTATAGGGATTTGAGAAGCAACTTGAGGTGAAGATACAGACATTATGGGCAGAGCAGCAGAAATACTGCCTTTTATTAATGGAGATGTCTGCTTGGGAACAGTCACTGAAATTTCCACTGAAGATAAAAATGGCTTTGGAGAAAAACTAGCTAAAGAACTTGTATTTAATGATATCAGAGAAGTTTTAGACAAGGCTTTTGCTGTTTCAAAATATAAAGCTGTGATTAATTGAGGAAAACTTGTCTCAAAGCTAGCAAATCTAGTAGGCATAGGAATTTGAGGAGCAGTTGAAGTCAGTGCAGAAATGGGTGTTGGGTGAACTGTAGTTTGACCAATACCAGACCTAGTTCTAACAGACAAAGTAGATATAGGAGAAGTAGGTGTGCTTAGTGTCAACCATGAACCTAGAAGAAATACAGGTCTTGTGGAAGTTGCTCTGCCAGCCAGCAAAGCAGACAAAGACACTTCAGAGGACACTGCTGCTCCCTTAGAACGACTTACTGAAGGACTCCTACTCTTCCCAATCCCTGCAGGCAGCTCAGAAGTGACAAAAGATGGCTTCGAGCTTAAAGCTGTTAATGCTGAGGTAGGGGGAACAGTTCCTAGCTGAGTGGTTGATGTTTCAAGTGGAAATGGAACTACCACTAGGGAAATGGGTGTTAATAACGCAGAACGTGTTGGAATAGGACTTGCACTGAGCAGGGTTGTTGGAGTTGCTATTGTAATGGGTAAAGTTATAGATGCAGTAGAACTGATAGTATGTGATGTGATTGCTGAGGCTTGAAGAGCAGTTGGAAAATCTGCTGAAGAGATGAGTTTGGAAAGGACAGTAGGGCTGGCTGTGCTGTGAAGTATATATCAGAAGGCTCCACTGTACTTGGTAATGAAAATGTTGAATAGGTGGCTGCATTAGATGCATCCAATGAATAAAAGTCTGTAATGGACTGTGCCGACATATTCATTCCTCTTAAAGTTGTGTTTGCTTTCATGGTTATTTTGGCTGTCACACCCGTACGAGTTGATTCAGTCCCTGAAGTAACAAATAAAGGAGGTGTCTGAGGAAATCTCTCCATGGTAGCACCAGTGTGAGAGATTAACAATGAAGGTTTTGTTCCAATTCCTGATTCTGTAGGTATCACAGGTATGCCTAAAAGGAAAAACGCATATTTCACTGTCTTTTGTGGATCATTGGTAAAGCAAAATAGCAACATCTATGTCTACTCAAGTCCCATTTAAATATTAGCAAATCAGAGCATCATTTTGCTGAGAAGATAATTTGCCAATGGTTCCAGGTTGCCTGATGACTTTGAGGAACTCAGCTGACTCAAGAAGTTTTCTAATTTTCTTTGCAAATGGAGTAGCTAACTTTTTATTATTAGTGAAAACCTTGATTTTGCAGAGCAGTTTTGACAAAACAAGGGAATTCCATGGAAAACTCAGTAAATGCAAAATAGTAAAATATTTGGAATAAATATATTATAGAATATGTTGCCTTCTTTTATATCTTTGGAAGGTGGTATACTATATGAGATGACTTTGTACTAGCAAATATCAAACATAATGTATTTAATTCAAAACTTGTAAAATAAAATAAGACACAGGATTAAAATGTAATTGTTATGTTAAAAGAATACCATATCCCCAAAATAAGCAAATAATGTGGTATCTTCACACACCAGAAGTTACAAAATAGATGCACTAAATTTGTTAGTGGTGGCTCATCAACTGAAAAGTCTGAACTTTTTGCCACAGCACTATTTCTTCCATTTGGGATCTTTCTCTTATAAATGTATGATATACTAGCAGCATATAGTAAAATATAATTGTGATGAGTATAACACCATTGCAAAACATTAAATTTAATACACTATTAGAGAAATGAAAGAATTCAACTTTAGATATGGCTTGTTTGGATGTAGGACATGTATTTTGGATGACTGGGAAGGGAGTCTATGTCTCAGAGAGACATTCTTCAACAGAAAGATGTTCTGGTAAAGCATTTAATAAAAACCAACAATCTACATTTGATTAAAACCTTTCCTGGGATCTCTAGAGTGATTTATAAGGTTAGACCAATATAATAAAATATACTTACAGTCTTCTGGATAAACACATTTAAGTGTGACCTCATCAAGGATCATGTTTTTGGGACAGTATGGCAAGCATCCTTCAACCCTTTAAAATATTGTATAGTTAATTCTAAAGCCGTAGTAGAAATATAAATTAATTTTAAATTATTTCACTTTGGCAAAATGACACATTTAAATTACTTCCCCATCAGTGTTCTGAGAACTTTCCAGTGTAATGGTGAACACAGCATTTTGAGGCATTTTAAGGCCAGTAAGATGTTGAAGAGCACAATTCTGTTTCTAAATTGTTAATAATCAATTCTTTGCATAGGCTGATGAACATGATCGTTTTTGACCATTCTGCTTCCACAATCAGATGGAAGTTCAGATCCCTAAGCAGAAAGGTTTCCCATAGGACAAAGACCTTCACTATAAGACCACTGTTTTACCCAGTATGTTCATTTGAGACACTGAAATATTTAGACTGACTCCATAGAAAGTCTCATTCTTGGGCACTTTCAGCATAGGAGAGTGCAGACAAGTCCCTTACTTTTTCATTTTGGGGGATTTCTAATAAGAAAATCATTACATTAACAACCATATGGAAAAAGCTAAGAATACCAACAGAGAAAATTAGTAATATTAGTAATATTCCTAATCATAAACTGCATATGCCTAGGGAGGTAGTCTGAAATTCAAAATATCATTTCTTTTCCACCAGATTTTGCGCCTTGGGTTTTTAGGCATTTTTCCTTTTAGTTTGTTGTGGTTCCATAGATGCTAGGGGAGATCCGTGGAGGCAGGAAATCTTGTTACTAAGTAACAAGATAACATCAGCAGTGTGAAATCCCTCACGTGGTGCCAGTGAGCATCTCTTAGTATAAAGTTCCCCCCTCTTACAGGAGAGGGCGTGGTTCACCCTTACGATTCCTACAGTTTTTGATCTCTGTCATATAAACACCAGAAAGATGTAGTCATTTACAGTATCATGGGATGCTGGTTTAAGATGTGAATATAAATCCATAGAAGGAAACAGCCTTAATTTAATTTAATAGATTTCTACTTAACCACTACCAGAAGCTAATCCCCTGGGCTAAATACAAACCCTTTTATTCTTGTGTTGAAAGATCGCATGTAAACAGGAATATATACCATGGGAAATGAGAGGCTTTTTACAAATGTTTTCACATGACTTATGAGAGTTGCTCACAAGAGTGATACTGAAATCTGGATGAGCAAAAATGAATGGATATTGCAGCTGCAGTAATGTTCAGAAAGCATATGGTAATCATATTACAAAAAACAATACGGTAGCAATGCAGAGCTTAATTTGACTTACGGAGGAAGGAATTTACATGCTATTCCTTCAGGATCACCACATGTTTTAACACAAGGATAAGCACAAGATTCATATCGCCATTCACTCATCCTTCTATAAGGCACAGATGCACCGAGTTCTGAGAAAGAAGGAAAAGGTATTATTTATTGATTGTGTAGTCAATAAACTATAAATTTACAGTCTTTTCTATTATGTACATTGGGATTTTGAGAAAAATTAAAAAATGAAGACCAAGTAGAGAAATTCTTGAGAACTTTCAAATAGGTGAGATTTTGTTCATTTTCAATTTCAAGTATTTTAAATTCAATCAAGCTAAAAGACACGGAAGCTTCAAAGATACAAACAGCTACTCACTTTTACAATATATTCTGTTTAAAAAACTTAAAAATCAATTAAACATAGTGAAGGTACTGTTAGTTGACGAAGCAATACAGTTACCCCATTCATTTAAAATAATAGCTACCTATAGCTCACTAACAAGACATTAACATGCATCTTTTTGTGACATGCCACATTAATTTTGAAAGAGTAAAACAATGAAAATGTAGTTCAAAGATAAAGTGATCATCATACCTGCAAAAATTAGAAAATAATAGCATTTGGAAGTGGAATGGAAGACAAAGACAGAATAGTGATTAAAAATAGGATAAAAAATATTTGTGACTTTTGCTGATGAAAGACAAGTGCTCTGAAGGCAAACAGAAAAAAACATACTTGTCCCTGGGGATTATGCAAAATTTACCTTCAACACTAAAGCTACTCAAACGTTTGAATTCTTCTGAATCATCGTACTTTGCCACTTTAACACTGGATAAGGTGAGAATGATGAAAAAGCCTTTTTTACTGTGCAGTTCGAAGGCACTGAGCCCTGGACTCCAGAGGCCCTGGTGGTGGAAGAAGGTGGCTCGTCTCCGAAAAGAGGCACTTGCCTGCCACTTTTCCAACCCAACGGTTTCATTGTCATGTACGTACAGAAAGTAGTTTGGTCTTTCAGCAGATTCAAGGGAAACAAGAGAGAGAGCTTCCACAGAAGAGAAAAAAAAATAATAATAGTAAGATTTTCACAGAAAACAACTTAAAAGTGAGATTAAAATCTATATATTCTCTGCCTCCTCTTAAACAACTGCTTTTCACAAAAAAAAATTCAGTTTTATATAACACAAAAAAAGTTAGAAATGCAGAGTCTGAAGGAGACTTCAAATGATCATATAATCCAGAGCCACCAGAGAGCTAATCAGTTAGGTCAAAACTACATCCAGCCTACTGCTACCAGCCTTTGAAATGATTCATAAACAGTCTCAAATTGGGAGTTTTTTCTCGAATTTGGACAAATGCCTGACAGTTCAGCTGTACCAAAGTTTCATTAGTAAATAACATCATGCAAATATTGTAAGAAAATGCTTGACTTCACCTTGAGGTTAGGCTTTTTTTACATACAGTCATATCCAGCAATACAGTAAGAAAACCTGTAGCCAAATAAAAGACTCAACCCTCTATTTGCTCTACTCATGCCAGAAATCAGAAGTGAAGAAAATTCTCTGAAAATTTAAGAACTTAGGAGAAGACTGATTTCATATTTGGTTTTCAACTTGAATAAAATCTTGAAGTGTCTTTAATCTAGATGAATACTATCTCATTCCCCACAGATATGAAAACTACCTGTGTACTGCACAGATATAATGAGTGTTTTACTTCCACTTTACATCGGTTGGAGCATTGACAAGACTGAATTAATTCTTCTGTTCTATGTACTTTCTCATTTCAAAATCATATCTAAAAACCTAATTTCTCCAGTGCAAAATAGTCAACTGTTTGTGAATATGGTTTCAAATTTTACTCTGAAGACAGCCCTTCTCTATGTTGATTTTTGAGGGTTTGGGATTTTTTCAACAAATTAAATTCTGTGAGAAAGCAATGACAAAATCTGTATTGACTTAATTGGCACAAACCCAATACAGGTGAAGAAAGGAAAATATATACAGAAGGAAAAATATTTAAACATATTTATTTTTGGTTTTATAGTTTAGATCACTCTCTGATAAGTGAAAATTAGAGCTTAGGAATAGCTGTTCACCTAAACAACTTCTTTCTACATTGTACAGAGATGCTGCTCACTAACAATGCAGGAGACAGATTGGTTGTTCTAAGTTGCACATTTTATAGTTCACTGAAAGTCACAAAAAAGAAGAAAAGATGAAGTAGAAGTGATTTTACTGGAGACAAAAATATCCTGCATTCACCTTCGGTGTTGATACTTGCTAGATACGTGTGCAAAATTTTCCAGTTTCCAGTTATACAAACTAATTTTTTTCACAAAGGAATTCTGTTCACTTGTATTTTGCAATATTTCTAAAACGATCTTTGAAAAGTCAGCTTTAAAGCTGGCAATGAGGTTTTCCAATATTTAAAAAATAATTTAAAAAGTCAGTATTCCTCCTCAGTTTTGAAATTGGCCGCTTTATCCTCACTTGTTCCAATAACTAAAAATACCTAGACTATTTTAGGAGATTTAGAAGACGCAGCAAAAATATAGTTTGAAAAATATGTATTGCCTTTAGCAAATTTGTTGAGAACACTTACATAAATCTTTATCTTTGAAAAGACCTGGCGTTATCATGAAACTGAAAAATACATTTCCATATGCTCCGGTTCTAGGCAGGGGAAATATCCTTCTACTGGATACGTTAGCTCCTATAATTGTGTCATTCTTTCCATAACTTGCCAAAATATAGGGTCCTTCACCAAGACCTAAGGGAAGAAAAATCAAATAGAAAAAGAAAAGTCCTCCTTGCATAACATACAAAACTTAAGTCTTAGTTGACATAATATATTGCATTAAATATTTCACCATACTGGGAATCAAAGAAATTTGGAACTACAGCTCAATGCCTCAAGGTATTACGCTGGAGTAGGTCTGTATCTATCTGTTCGATGTAATCCCTTATTCCTTGCTTGCTGCCCAGAATACAACAAATACAAAGTGAGCACAAAAAAGTGCGGGTAGCTATCCTCACAAAATGCCCTGTACAAGAAAGCAATCTTGGCTGCTTTTTTATGGTGTTTAGTGTTTTACATGTCCTTATTTCTATACTTCGAAAGATCAACAGACCAACTTTAATATTACTCCCCAAATAGACACTGAAGCTACTCTAAGATCTACAAGGCAATTCCCCCCCAAAAAAAACAGATTTCAAATTATAAGGCTGTAATTCAACTTTTGGCAGCAATATTGCTTAAGCAGTTGTCTAGTTCATCCTTTCCCACAAACCACTTGCTTCTGCCCCGCTACTGCCCCATTCGTTCTGCCATCCTAAGTGCTTCAGCAGTGAAGTGGTCCAGCTGAAAAATAACCAGCTAATTTTTCCAGTCTGGTTCACCAGGCTGGGCTATAAAGGCTCACAGGGATACATCCAGATACAATAGCATCTGTCTTTGTCACTATATCCCACTGAAAGAACCAAGAGCAGCATACTTCTAAAAGCTCACCTTGTGAGTAATAAACAAAATGTGTAAGTTTTGTGAAAGCTTTTAATCCTTACAATGAAAAGACTGAATGCCTTTCCCAGCCTAAGACAGCTCTTTTCAAATATGACTCTTCCAAGAGGTAAGGAATTCTCATAATAATGAGATTTGGCTCCGCTAGAAGTTAAACACCAATTTCTGAAGAAAACTGCATGAAAATAAACACTGTTTTTATATGGAAACTATGTTGGAGCTTATATGCACATGAAGCCCACAAGCTTGCCACAAAATGACTACTTTTAAAGAAGTGGCAAGGCAATTTATTTTAAAGACACTCTTTATTCTAAATCATTGAATGTTTATCCCTACATATTAACAGACATTTTCCCTATGACTTGAGCAAAAGCAGGAGTGAGCTGTAATTGATAAAGTTTCCGTAAAGATTCAACAGTTTGAGATCATGCAGAACAAAAAAGAATCAGTGGAGGAGCCATCCTATGTCCCAAAAGGTGTTTTGCTGGCACTTGGTGGTGGAAACATGCATAACACCATCCTTGAATTTAACCCCGGTAGGCAGCTAAGCACCACACAGCTGCTTGCTCACTCCCCTGCCAAGAGAATCGGAGGGGAAGAACTGAAAAGAAAAAGAAACAAAGGAAAATAAAACCGAAAAAAGTGATGCAAAAAACCCCAATTGCTCACCACCAGCTGACTAATGCCCAGCTGGACCCTGAGCAGTGCCAGCCCCAGCAAACTTTCCCCCGTTTTTTATCGCTGAGCACGACATCGTATGTTCTGCAATATCCCTTTGGTCAGTTGGTATCAGCTGTCCCAACTGTGTCCCCTCCCAATATCTCGTGCACCCCCAGCCTACTCGCTGGTGGGGCAACATGAGAACCAGGAAAGGCCTGCTGCATAAGCAGTAGCTAAAATATGGGTGTGTTATCAACACTGTTTTCATCACAAATCCAAAATATATCACCATACTAACTATATGAAGAAAATTAACTCTATCTGGGCCAAAACCAGTATACCTTACTACTTTATAAATAAGACAAAATTCCCTATTGCAAAGAAATTATGGAAAGTCAGCTATACCTAGCAAGATCTACGTGCTGCTACTGTACTGGGCCAGACTCCTTGGAGAAGAAAAAAATCATCTACTATGTGATGTTCATTATAGGATGCGAGTCGGTAAAAAAGATGTATCAAAAGTCACATTCATATCATTGCATTTAGTCAAGTTTCCCTTCCTTTTGAATATCTTGCTCCCCACAAAGCACATGCACAGTATCCAAATATAAGAGGGGATGTCACAGGAATTAAATCTGTTAAATGAATACCACTCTCGTTCTAATGAACTGTTCTTTACAGTACAATACTTGTGACACTTGTGCATAAAATCCTGTAACCTATCAATCTGAAAATATAATAGGTCCCAGTTCTGAAATTTACAGTAGAAGCACAAGCTAACGTCCTTAGAGCTTCTCCCTGACTGCCAAGATATGCTGCATGGTGCATTAATCCACCCTCACATTGAATATGATGAGGTTATTAATCGAGACATTAGGGATTACTAAGATCATTCAACCCAGCTGGGCCACTGACCTTCACCCATTAAAAACAGAAGCAGTGTTAAAACTACATACACCAAGTCAAAGAAAAAGCCCATCAATTAATTCAATTGAGTTTTTAATTGAACCAGAGCAATCTCTTTTATATGTCAATGAAAGAAGGAAAAATAAAACAAAGCAAGCCACTTCAGAATGAAAACCTAGAAGATAATTGCATAGTGTGCCAAATGTTCATAAAATTTATGAGGCTTTTTTACTTTTTTTCCAAAAATCATACCAAATTAATTATTATTCTGATTAATCTTAACTCAGTATCATCAGAGATGCTGAGTATCCACACACCATTTATTTTTGGAGAAAAGGACTTGAATTTCTCTGTGCCAAAGACAATTAGTTCAGTGAGGTGAAAATTCAAATGGTAATAACTCTGTATAACCTTGTAAGATGCACACTAATGTGTCAGTATTTGAATTCCTTCCTAATGTAGGATTGTCTGTGTTTATATAGGACAAATCTCAAGTAATACATGAGAAAAACAGTATTTTAGATATCCATAGCAGAACAGGGGGGAAGAAAAAGACAGTATAATGACGTAATGATGTTAAATAGACAAGGAATATGTTGCAAAATGACATACAATACTCCAGCCTGCTCATACAAGTCACCTCTCCTTTCTAATGGATTTGAAGGTCCAGTGAGCTCGAGGGATTGTGACTATGCAATCCTACCCTAGGGAACAGAGAGAACGGAGAAGAGATAACCTCCAACACTGCTGCAGCTGACAGAGATTCTTCTCAGCACAAGCTACGAAGGGTTTTATTTGCAGTGTGCATTGTATCATGTTTCATCTGAGATGCCAGATGTGTTGTTTTGCTTACAACTACGATGTTTGTTTCCATGCCACCACTGTCCCTGGACATAGAGCAGAAAGACCCATGGGGACTTGCTTTGCTAACTTGCTGAGCTCGTTAAATTCACATACCCAAATCAGGAGTACAAAAAAAAAATCATTCTAACCTGTGAAAGAGAGAAATTACCAAACTATATTTTCTTCCAGGGTTAGTCTGAGTGAACTGATGTAATTAAAGTGTCTCTTGGGTATTTGTTTTTAAAAGAGAAACAAAATAAGTGAGGGGGAAAGATAAGTATCTCAAAATAGCATCATACAGAAAGAAAGATGATAGAATAGTACATCAAAGATGCATTCCGTATCCTATAGTGGTCAATGTGGGGAATTTTCTGCAACTAAATGCTTTATAAAAATGGATTCCGTTTTGGAACCAGGGAGTACAGCTTTGTTTCTAGCATGTAGCTAGCTGGTATGCTAGAAAACATGAAGAGTAAGTGTATTCAGCAAGGTATATAAATATGAGGATGAATCAAAGACAGTAATATCAAATACTACATACCTTGATTGTAATATTCACAGTCGTAAGCTAAAAGAAGAAGAAAACAAGCCATTATTATTACAAAGTGGCAACAGAAACTATGCATATCTGCATCCTAAAAATGTAAAATTCACTTTCATCAGAGGGAGTTTCATTTCCCATAATGTATTTCAGTCAGTGACTTTATTTCCTTAGGCTTTTATTCAGTGACATACAGCTGTATTTAAATAGATGTGCTAGGACAGCAGACCTGAAGCATGAATTATTCTACAGCCAAGAACCCTTCTCGCTGTCAATGAAAAGTAGAAAGGACTGAATCTCTTTGCAGCCCTACACAGAACACTGGACATTCCCCAGATCTGGTATACTGGTACCTTTCCGACAGTCTCTGCGCTGGCACACCCTGAGAACAGCCAGTCCTCTTCAGTAAGGCAGCAAATTTGCGTGTATAAGACTAACAGCTAACACACAGACAGTGTGAAAAATGTGAAGAAGTATATTTATTACCCATCTGCTTCTGTCGTATTTGTATTATTGGGCAGCAAAAGGCCAAAGATGCCTCAAAGATGAGCTCCAGTACACAGCCGGCCCAAGTACGTACCACAGAGGGAAGGAGATCGCCAGTGAATCGCTGCTCCTTGCTGGCAGCATTTGTGGGCATAAGCTGCAATACTGGTACACAAGCACTCACAGTCCCCGCCAAGATTGCAGTTGCACGTGTCTGTGTGACAATTTTTGACAAAAGAAGTCACATCAATCTGGGGGGAAAAAAAAAAAGAAAAGAGGGCTGGTGACTTAATTGCATGAGCTGTACAAATTTGTGTTGCACCATTCTCAGCAGGACTGCTACCTCTGGATTGACTGAAAGAATTGGACACAAAAATAAGATATTTTCTAAGGTTTGGGTACATTCCTATACAAAAAGTATACTTCAAATGATCAACTTCTACTTACATTACAGGCCAAGAGAAAATTTCAATCGTGACTATTAAGAAGTATGTCTGTCCACACACTTGCTGTTCATCGATTTTGCAGAGTATGTTGAAGCTGGCAGTTCTGTTTTTATAAGGCAAATACTGCCATCTATAGTCATCCTGTCAGTTTTGCATGAACAGCAAAAAAGTCAGAGTTGCAGCTCTGATTATCATGTAATTAAAGTAATAACTTGTAGTGGGGGTTTTGGTCAGGGAAAGAAAGCTTGAGCATGCTGGTGACATTTTGCAGAAAAATATTTCTGCACTTATTAAGATTTTAATATACTGTGCCCGCAAACCTTCATTAAATCAGAAACCCATGTCCTCACTCTAAAATCCTATCACATTATTTCGTGGTTTTACATAATACACTATTTTTTGGGTTTTAATCATCTTTTTTGTAATGTTCAGCAAAGTTTCCAAAACAGTGTTCTTATTCAACACATGGAATGTTTAAAGCAATGCTTTTCTTTGGTTTAGACTCTGGTCTAGCTCAGTTGTAGAGCACTCAAACGGCACACGTCAGATTACAGAAATACTGTCACAGTAACAAAGCAGCTGTTATCTAACATGGAGACGGCTTCTCAGCTGGCAGTTGCTGGAAGCTGGCAGGGATACGAAGACTGTTTTTCTCCCTTCAGTGGAGAGAGATGCCATTTTGCTTTCATTCTTTTTCTTATTTTGAAAACAGGGATACCACTGGGCTGGGGGCGTGAGCATTAGCTCCACTGAAAATGGCTGTAATAGCTTCACAGGAACCACCAAACAGCAGATTGGCTCCAAAGAGCTCAACCTGTCTCTCATGTCTGCAGGACAGCATCTCTCCATGAGTCAGCAACACCCTGCTGTTGTGACAAATTGGGATCCTAGGGTCAAAGCTCCTGCTGAGTTCAGAAGTTATGAGGAAGACCTTTTTTTCTGTGAGCGTTGAGGCTCCTCAGCCCCCCACTGAGTTCAGTGCTTAGCTGGGCAACTGCAATCTGTCAGTCGCTGCCAGCCAGAGACGCAAGATTTTGTCTCCCTGAAAACAGGGTTTTCCAGCCTTAGCTGAACTCTGAGGCCGCCTGTCCCACGGGCAGGAGCTTGCCTCCATGCACAGCAGGATCCTCCACCACCTGCACAGCAGGAGCGACTGTGAGAGCGCTGCTCCAAGCATGTCCTGAAACCCACATCTACACTTTCTGTTCCTTCCGTGACCCCGGTGTCAGCCTCTGCTTGGGCTTTTTTCCTTGGCACCCGGTTTCCCACCTGGGCAGCCAGCAGTCAGCTGCAGATATCCTTGATAGGAGGTCACTTTACATTACATTTGTAAGAGCCGTATTTTCACACGCTGATGAATAGGTTGTCAAAACACCTGAAAGTTGTTTGCTTTACAGGCTGTTCCATACAAGATGGATATGTGCATGTGAAAATACCTGACTACTAATTAAATGACATGTTTTGCACCTGACATGCATTTTTTAACATAATTATGCTAAATTTTTGGCGTAATGTTTGCAAATTTTAATCACAACATGGATAAGATATAGAAAATGAATGTTCAAGAGAAAACACCTTCTTTATGAAGTTATAATAATACAGCTCCTTAAAAACTCTCAAAAGTTCCATTTTTATTTATTACTTTTCACTTTGAAAATACACTCATCACTATGTTCTCAGGCACATGCTCAAAAAATTCTTTACATAGTAACTGAAGTCAACATTAATAAATCTCTCGGGTTAAGCTACTGCAACCTCCTCCTCAGGCAAATTCCTAACCATGTTGATATCAAACTTCAGTCCTGAAAGTCAGGAGGTTCAGCTGGGACATCTAATGATCTCATTTAGTATTAATAGTCATAAAGAAAATAAGAGACTGAGGCAAAATGTTGTAGTGGTTCTCACTTGCACAGATGTAAAGAAGCACCTTTGATAACTAAATACCTTTGGGAGGCTAAAATCAGAAATAGGGAAAAATGTATAGACCATGTCTTGCATTGATAAAGGGTGGACTAAAATGGAATAAAAGATTCCCACACAAGCTATTGTTGTCCCCATCTTGTCTAGACTGAACTTAAGGACATTCTTGTAACTCAAGTTGCAGGCTCAGCCAGGTATTGGGAAAACAAGGACACCAAACCTCAGAGTTTTGATAAAAAGCAGATGATAAACTGTCAGCCAATTAAAAATACTGATAGCTCTGAAGCTAAAATCTCACTCTCTCATATTTCTTTCTATATTGAGCAGGACAGTTAACAAAATAAAACCATTTGAGATAAGCTGTAGGCACATTACAGAAATGCTTATTTTAGAATCCTGCAATATACACAAAAGCATTACAAATGTAGTTACCTATATAAATAAAAGATATAAATAAAACCGAAAGAGAACAAAACCTTGATTATCCAGTCTACTAACTCATGGCTCCCAGTTATCACTATTATGTTTAGGCTCCAGTCTTGAAAGGAACAAGAAGCTCTGCACAAACATAGCCCACCCACATAGAGATATTTGCAGGGCTCTACTCTGTATCCTCTGCGGCATTCAGACTGAGAGGAATGGCAAGAAGAAGTTAATTACTGGAATTATAATATTTTCCTACATGAGAGCACATCTTGGATGTTTAATAAACTTACCACATTGCGACAAGGTGCAAAAACATCACTGTATAAAACTGAGCATTCCTTTTTGGCATAAGGAAACTTGCTCTGATGTACCTCACATGGTCTTAGTGTTTCATTTGGGCTCTTGCACTTGAAAACAAGCAAAAACACCACAAACATGTGTTTTTATACAAAGGTGTGTTTACCATGGACTCAGGTACACTATAGTGTCAGATAATTCAATACCTGCATACTCAGACAACAGAAATAAAGTTTAAATGCTATCTTCATCTTCCCCTTTCCCTGATTTATTGTTATAATTGAAAACATTTGCACAAAAAAGAATCTTTGTGTTTTGTTCTGAAGTACTAAAATGTTCCTGCTGTCTGCTCGGCGCATAAAGACAAGATGTTTTCTTTGTGACACATTATAATCATTACCAGAGCAACCAACTGTAACATCACAAACAAATACATGGTCCAAATCCATCTCTGGTGGTTTTGCACTGACTTTAAATGGAGTCACACTACAGATGGCTTTAGCCCTGTAAGTTCAAATAAAGAAGCAGCGGTAGGAAGAGAGCAACTCATAAAAAAAATAGTCAAAGATCATCGTGATGATAACTCAAAAATGGCTGAGATACAACTCCCTCTCTTAAAGTTTCTCTTCAAGAAGAAAAAACAAACGAACAGAAAAATATAGCAAAATGACACTCAGCTCAGAAAACACGAGCTCATCCAAAACCATACCCTCTTGATGCAGCAGGGAAGTCCAGGGGGGGAAATGATGGATCCATAGGCAGCATTGGGGTCTCCCAACACAGCCTCAGCTGCAGTGCAGTCGCCCACCTCTGCTACCCTCCTGTGCGGATGCTCAGACGCCATGGTGGGGGATGCGCTGCCACTCCCAGGAGGCAGAAACCCTGGAAGCATCCCACGCTTCACGGTGCCAATGCAAGCATGTTTGCCAGTAGCAGAGTTGGGTTCTAGGCCTCCAGCTACCAAATATTCCTTTACAGTATTTAGATTTTGCAGAAAAGATGACCAGGATACATCTCTATGAAGGCCAAAGGTCCTTTCTGAAAAAAATCCCTAACACCTACTGCTGAGGTAGATGAAGCGTCAAGTCTGGCTGAGCGCAGGCTGCCTGCAAGGCCAATATTGAACTCAGATCCTGAGTGCTCTGGCAGCACAGAGATTGGAAGATTACATGAGATTTTACAAAAATACATATATATGTGGCCACAAAAAGGCAAGCACAAGTTTGGGCTGCATAAGGAGAGGTCGTAACACCCTAGAAGTTAATGTGCTGTGCAAACACCACACACTTTTTTAAAGCAGCCACTGCACTGATAAATCAGAAAAGAAAAATTCATACACTTCATACAAAGCATTTACACATTTCTTTATCTACCTCCTTCTAGATGAGCAGTAAAACCACCAACACTACACATTTGCTTTGCTTGCTCACACAATTTAAACATTTTATGTAGAGTAAAATAGATCCAAAGGGAGATATTGAGGGAGAGAAGCCTCAAAAACTTTACTCCAAATAGGTGTCATATTCTTTCATGAGGTGAGAGATTTTGGTTCAATTTCCTGCTGTGAGTCAAGGAGAGAACAGATTAAAAATTGGTTCTCACAGACGTCCTAAGGGAGTGCTTTACAAATACTGATTTTTCAGGAGGTTCACAAGGCTATACAACCTTATATCTTCTCAGCACAAATTAATAAAATACCTATTCTCCTGTGTTATAAAACACAGTTGCGGTCATCCGCTCTCTACAACCTCTTCCCTTCTCAGAAACCAAGTTGTGCCTGTTGCTGTTCTGAGCCTTTTCGGTCTCACCCCTTCACCACCGCTGCTTCATCAGTTTGTTCTCTATTTACAAACTGCAACTAAAAAAAAAATCACCAATTTTTTTTTCGGTGTTCAGAAAGGAACTTCTTTCCAGACCTTTTTTACCAGCGTTCAGATTCTATTTACTTTCAATATCCTGATGCCTCCAACACCAGAGAAATTACAATTGTTTTTAAAATTGGGCTGAATCCAAGATATCAGAAGCAATGTATCTAACTTTATAGAAAATTGAAATCCAGACAGCTATGATAATTGTCTTATATAGGGAAAAATATATTCTTCCCTAAAGAGACTCTTTGATTTCATTTAAATTCAGTATATGTTTGCTATGACATGAGACAGTTTGCTAAGACATAAGACATTATTAACACATTTCACATCTACAGACATAAAAATTAAAATGTCCTCTTATACACTTGACCATGAGCTTAGAAAATCCCTGTACATCATGTGCTTATAACATGTTCATTTATAAACTAAAATTATCATCCTTTTTTCTTAAATTTTTACTGGACATGGGACTTACCTGTCCTAATACCCAGCTGTCTCCAAACACCTGTGCATTTCTCACCTCCATGTTGTTTGATGTAGTCAGATCATTTGAAGTATATTTGTCAAAATTTCCACACAAACCTGCCAGTTTACCCTAAAAGAGAAGGAGGATTTTTTTTTTATGTATACTGACAGTCAATAATCGGTACAAATGACATACGTGGAATAACACATTCATAAAATGAAAAAGGTGAATGCAGCTCTGACTTACACTTTGAAAATATCTGACGCTGCTATGCTTACAGTTCCATATTGCAAATAACTTTTAATAGAAATTTATATTTTCCTTTTTTCTTCCTGTTTTCCAGAACCTGTTCTTACTGTCTGCCTGTGAAAAGGGGCTGGAATCTAGTCTTTTTTTTTTTTTTTTTCTGAAAGCTTAGTAGTGCATCCAGTCCAAAAGTCAAAAGTTCAGGTGAATTACCTCATGAACGTGAAGCCTGACAAGTTGTTGTCATTAAAACTTGCTGCCTCTAATTTTAGCTCACAATAGCAAGAACATTTGTAATAGCAGTTACAAAAGAGACAGCTGCAACTTTTTTGTGTTTGGGCATGTGCTGCTGATGGAAAAAGTATATATACATGCATACACATATACATACATAGAGAAAAAGATATTTCTGCACAACAGTAAAATGTAGAGTTGGATTTCTAGGGTGCTGTGGCTCACTAATGAATTCTTCTTCCTTAAGGTCTGCTGCAGACATTATCTTACTGAACTGGAGCCTCCGGAAGAAACAGTCATTGGAAACAGAAAGAGCCTGAAGTATTTGTGTCCCTGCATGCAACCTGTAGAACTCAAGTCCCTGCTAGCTTACTCAAAAACAGAAGAATGTTTTTTCACTATGTCTATTGATGGCTGATAAATCAGCTTGTATGTGAAGTAAGCATTTTATGGCTATTGGGAAAAAAGCCTATAATAATGTTGCTTTAAAACCAGATTAGATGGTCATTGTAACTTTGATTTATACTTCAAAAAATCTGATATTGTATTCTCGCATAGAGTGCTTTCTTTTCTTTTACTGGAAAGAGCCTCCTCTCAATACCTGTGTTCATGGTTGAGACGAAACAGGAATGTAACTATCGAATGTGCAGATAAGATTACTCTGCCAGGACCCAAAGACTGAGTTGCAGAGACACCAAGGCAAATGACGATGTAGGAATGGAACAGAGAAGAGCAACTGGCGAGAGAAGGAGCTTCATATTCTTCCCTGAAGAAGAATGGCTGAACCCTGTCACAGTATACTTATTAGGTTTAAATGTCAGGTTTTGTCTAGATCCTTTCCTGTATCTTGTCTTCTTAATTTAAACCCAAGACATGACTCCATCTGTTCATCTCAGCAGTCTCTACTACATCTCAGGGTGCAGTTCTATTATGAGCCTAATCCAATCTGTGCTACAAACCTGCCATCTTCCACGTCGCTAGATATGGAAGCTTCTTTTCCATTGGCTTCAGCAATTATGAAAACATGCAGTGAACTGGGTAACTCAAAATTAACCCTCTCTTCCCACCCCCAAAGTAACTTTGAGTCAGAGCTGAATCACTGCATATCTGCAAGGTTGCAATGTGTGGAGCAACAGAGTAAACATGCATGCAGGAATCACCCCTTATCTTCAGGAGTCCAGCCATTAAATCACATTCTCCGTCTCTTCTTACCTGGGAGATGCTAGCAGCTGAACACAGTGATAAACAGCTATATCACTGGGAAAGTTAGTCACAAAGAAAAGACAATCACAGTTATTCAAGAGATCACATTAGCAACACAGAATGCTACACAAAATCTCAGGTTTTTATTTTGGCTCACCTTCCATCGAGGTCCAACTTTAACATGCATCATTGTCTTCTTATCCCACAGAATTGTAATGTCCTCTTCTGGAAAGTGTATCACAGTATAATATCCAGCCTTCCAAAGCTGATAGTTAGATTTGTTTTCCTGTCCCCTTAAGGTCTTCTGACAGAAATGAATATTTATTAAGATCTAATAAAGTAATTCTACCAAGGTATGCAGCCAATTAATAACAAAGTGTATACTGAAGAATACGTTATCTTTAGCATATAGCTGGATCAATAATATTACTAGAGATGTGGTTTAATACTTTCATATTTTGTCTTTTCAATCATTCAAGTTTGCTTTGATTTTGTACTTTGGTTTCCCTTTCAAAACCAAGTGGAAAGAAACAAATAAATGCCAATATGCTACTTGAGGCTTTTGAGCAGTCTTCTTTCTAGGACAAACAGAACTTGAAAAAAACAATGAAAAACGAAGATTTTTCCTGGGACCTGCTGCTTTATCCAGGCCTAGGCTCTTGTACTATGTTAACTCAGACTGAGAGATGTTTTTCAAAAACATGCTCCTTTAGAGTTGTAACTTTACAATGCTTATCTTAAAGGGCAACCCGAAAAGGAAAGAAAATAACTAACCTGCTTCTCAGAAGGTTCACTAAAATAAATCTCAGTGTCTCCAACAGTGATGAAAACATTCTTCGAGCAAATAATGTCATTGTCAAAGCACTTTTTGTTCTGAGCAATTATAGATATATTTGAGTTATCTGTGCTCTGCAATATGAAGAAGAAATAATTTTACTTATAGGTTCAATTGCATTTCACTCCTGCAGATTTATTCCAGGCTCATCATCACAAAAAAAATGGATAATTTAGTATTTACACATCTTTGAAATTATATTTAAGAAAGCTACCAAACAAGGAAATGTGTTTTTAAATTCAAAGCTGAACCCACAACCAACTCAAACTTTGGAGTTAAACACAAAGAGCCATTACGTTCAGCTGTGAGTCCTCTTTCGGAGGACTTCACAAACTCAGAGGACCAGCCTACCCCTAAAATAAGAGTCTGGTTTAGGCTTTTAAAATGTGCTTATACATGGAATCCAATATTTACTGCATAGTATGGTTGTCAAAATCAAGACATGCTATAAAAAGAGCTTTATTTTTAAACCAAGGTACATGAGATCAAGCTGTTTTCATATTTTTAAAACCAAGAAACCTACCATCTGTCAGTGGTAGATAAAACAATTTTTGTACCACCACCCATCGAAGTTCACAAAACCATGAGTCATACTCAATGTTATTGGAGGGGGCAAAGGTTGCAGCTGATATTTTTGTTTGTGTTTTTTTCTTTAACATTTAGAAGATTTGTCTACTCTGTTCTTTTTTGATTTGCTGGTGCTTTAGTACCCCAAATTCAAATTTACTGCCTTCCCAATCCCATATCTGTAAATTAATTTTGCATTCTAGGCACATAAAACCACTTTTGCACCTTGGCTCAACATGTCTGTTTGTTCACCTACAGCTTCTGTGGTTCTTCTGTACCCTGAGGGAAACACACATGCACCTTGTAATTCCCTATGCTAGGATTGGTACTGGAACAAAGGAGACAAGCTGCATTTTCAGAGTTGATAACACTACCACAAACAAAAATAAAGTTGTGTTACTCTTACTATTTCTTAATTTAATTTGCCTTTCAATTCATTTCTGTACCAATCCTCGCAAGTCAACAAGAAGCCATAACTATAGAAAAGACTTGAGAGACTTAACTTCATAACATAAGCCAATAACAGTGCTTCTGAATCCAGTTTTATTTTTAATCAAATTCAGACCTACAGTCATTAAAAACCTGAGACAGATATGAAATAAAAATCTTGGAGGTGGCAAGCTATATATGACCCGCTGAGTCATCCAGTCTTATATGAGACACTTGGATAGTGCTGGAAACAAAAAGATGTTTAAACTTCTCTTGTTACTCCCACCCTCCTTTAAACACTCTCTGAGACTATGACTAGCTGAAACTAATTGCAGGTACTAATGGGCACAGTGGGCAAGATGGGAATGGTGGTTATCAGCAGTTCCCCATCCTGGGAACTCCTCATGGCTTCCAGCAATGCCCTTGGAGAGCTCCACTTGGCCACAATGGGAGGGATCCCTTGCCTTGGTTTATGCCCACAACATCTCTCCCCAGAGCTCCTTCCCTTGGTCGGTGTACCTCTCCCTTGGTCAGTGCACCCCTGAAAGGTGCTGGGTACATACTCCTAACTACTCCTTGCCTGTCTCACATTTGTACCCTTATTTGTTCTGTGCTTATCAGAATTCAAGAATAAAAAAAACATATCAGCAATTTTTCCTCATCAGTGGGAAACATTGCATACAGAAAATATGGGTGCTACAGGGAGCAGCTTTTTTTTTTTTCCTTAAAAAAAGTCATAGTGACCAAACTGTTTAAAGAACAATTTCAATCTAAAAAACAAAAAAAACAAAACCAACCAAAAAAACCCCAAAACCCAACCCTAGATGACGGGAAGCGTAAAGGTATTTTTGTTGCCACACAGAGGAGGTGCTACAGCTTTGCTGCCCTTAGTCTAGCATGGCCCACAAGCCAGAGGATGCTGCTACTTGGCATAGAAAACACTCCACAGCAAGCGTGAGCGAATGCAATGAACATAAGGTATGGGAGACTGCCTGCAAGCTTTATGTTACCCTAATGCCAGGGCTTAAGAAACAGGTGGTATGTGTTAGCAATTAGCTTGGAAGACAACAGTTCAGGTGGGTAAAGTTAGCCCTAGCTGCTAGTGGTAAGGGGGTGTAGGAAATCAGCTTTTCATGATTTAACAGGGGAAATCAGTTTAAAATTACTTAAAGCTTCAGGGTAAAACAAAGTTCATCTGTTCCATTCTGTTGTAAAGTTGTTTTAGGTTGCACTCAGAATGAAATTGGTTACTACCTTTTTGGGAAATACACTGTGTTTTAATTAAGCCAGGCTTGCTGCTGGAGTCAGTCCAGTAATTATTCCCCTCCAAGTCAGATAACAGCCCAGAGCATTTTTGGATTTATTGGAGGTGATGTGGTAAATTAAAAAGGAGACAAACTCATTAGTTTGGTAGATAGGATGCAAGCTGATACATTCTCTGCTGGCCAAATGAAAAGTGAGCAAGGAAGCTACCTCACTACCATGAGTCAGTTCAGAAAAGGACTTTGCTTGCAGTCTGTGGGTCTATTTGATGCCTAGGACATTGTGGGCTGTTTTCATTGCAGAGTTCATTCCTCTTCAGTTAGCTTAGCCTCAGCAAAAGGGGATGCTCTGAGTTAATAAGGAAGCAATGTCTTTGCTGTAAGGAAAGAGATGGAGGGCTTTATTTTAAATAAGGATAGTTAATTCAGGCTAATTACCCCACAGTAAAAATACACCTTTTTTGGCAATGAAGACAAGTTCTTGGAGCAGCACCGGTTAGCTGTATTAGCTATGCTAATTGAAGCTGCTGCCTGTGCCTTCTGACAGTCCAGGCCAATCCCTTCAGCTGAACAGCATCAACATACTCAAGTCAGAAGTTTTTGTGTATGGTTGGGATTTGAGCCAAGGGCAAAAGTTGAGTTATATTTCAAGTTAACTCTGCAGTAGACAGAAGCCTGGAGACAGGGAGTGTTTTGCTGACCAAAGCCAGAACAGGGAGTCCTGAAGACATGTGAAGAACTTCCTTATTTGTAGGACCGCATGTTGGTGTTAAATTACTAGAAATGGTGCAGGATGGAAATGCAGAGAGACTGTGGTGGTGGTTCAGTAGAGCTACAAGTAAACCAGACATTTAAGAAAAAGCGGTTTGCACTAAATCCTGAGTCTTCTCTGCTTTTTCTCTTTCCAATTAAATCTTAGACCTAAACCCAAACGTAAAAACACCATTATGGATTACCTACATCTTGTGGCTTAAAGCTTTCACAATAAGATTTGTTTTACATACATACCCTTGCCATTCTCTCCATACACCTCAATAAAAATTGGGTCTTTTCCCACCCATACAGTACCAGCCAAATTCAAAGTTGAATGACAGTTTCTATCATGGCCTTCAAATCATTCTGTAACGGGTACATATGCAGCCTCTTCTTTCAGCAGGGAAGAAATAAAGTGCAATTGAAATTTAGCACTTAACTATTGCCAATGCAAAAGAAAGAACAGGGACTAATTAGATAAAGTGAGGATCATGTTTGTATAAGATGGCAAGGTCTTGGGCAAATCTCAACAGCTCTTAGGGACTGTGATAATATAAATGATAATGATTGAGTTCCATCTCTAATCTGCACTGGATCCACACAGGTACGAAAACAAGCTTTTGTCACTACTGCTGGAAGAAATGTCTGAGTAGACACTAGGAGCAGGTCTAATGAATAACAAGGTGGGGTTTTTTGTTGGGTTTCTTTTTTTTTCTGCACAGTCTCTTTCCAAGGCAGAGTCGCTCTTTACCTTTTTAGGTAAAATGCACCCAACAGGGGATGTACTACAGTTCATCATGTGAAACCTACTTACGCTGACAGAAACTAGAAATAAAATGGTTTTCCCACTGCAAGAGTATCTTCCCACGTAAATTACCATATCCAGCCTGTTCCAACTTAATATCAGTTTCTTTGTGATAACATGGAGTTGCCAAGCAACAGGGAAGACAGAGTCACAGCTCCGGGCAGTCAGTCAAAAGCTCATTGTCAGTCCCGCTTCTCAGGACATTCTTTTTCTAGACTTCACTGCAGTTTTTTTCCATATTTCTTCCTAGCTGAAAAGCAAAGCACTGCTTTCCTTTTTTTTTTTTAGTAGTGCTTGGGAATGCTAGGGTTTATTTTTGTTAGAAACTTTCTATTTCAATATCCCGTTAGAAAATTTCTATTGCTATTAACCAACAACAACACTGTGCAGTGTGCTTACACAATCAAAATGCAGCCTGGGAGAAGACAATTTAAAAGTGGTTGTATTTATCTTCTTTGAAAGTTTCATTAAATCTCTCTAACTGTTCAGTGTAAAGACTTATTCTTTTCCATTCTTAATACCCTGATTTCCCCGTTTTTTTTGTTTTGTTCCCTACAATACGCTAGCTTGCAAACTAGGGTGGCTATGAAAGCATCTAGGGACATACTGGGAACTCGATAAAGACAGATTAGTCCTATTTTACTTTTGTTTTAATGACTCTTTAGAGGTTTTCATATATAGCCACACACACAAACAAATGCAAAAATCTCTAAAAATACTGAAAAAAACTTACAGTAGTTTAAAAAGTAGAATTCGCTTTCTCCTTCCTACATATTTTCAGAGAGATACCATTAGCTCTGCTCAGACTTAACCTTTCAGGAAATTTTATGGAAACTCAGAATTGGTTTGATGGTTGTTTATTGGGCTCTGAGTTTCTTCTGAGGAAGCTTAACATTTGAAACTATTACTTCTAGGAGCTTGATGCTAGGAGAAGTAAAGCATCTTAGCCCAGATTTAGTCAGCATTTAGGCGTAAATATTTAAGTGTTTTTGGAGAGCAGACAAATGCCTTGGCACCTAACATGATCTTGCTCTGTTAGCTTCTTGTGCCATTTTATGGTGGGATTGATCTCCAGATAATCAGTGAAAACATATTAATTACGCAAAACGCATTCACAATTTACACCAAGAAGCATCTCCTATTGGAAAGCTTCTTTTGTTCTGTACAGAATTTCTTCGGTACCATTTCAAAATTATATATATAAATTCTGTGTAATTTTATTTAATCCCTGCTTTTGCATCCTGTGCAAATTTGTACT